ATATATATGGCACTAAATAGTGCAAGTTAGATATTATTGTAATGTTCCGGACCTTTGCACGAGGAGATTTTCTCAATCTGGACCTTTTGGAATACCTAACCTTTTGGAAGACCTTTTACTTGAATACCCCTGGTATAGAAGAACACCCACAAAGTTTGTTTTCATATGGTAATTGAGCATGGTGAAATGCAAGTACGACACCGACTACATGAGATATGGATTTTCTTACATTGAGAACAAAAACCTCAGTGTGTTTTGTGCAGCGAGGTTCTGGCACAAGAAAGCATGAAGCTGTCAAAACTGAAGCAGCATTTGTTGGATCAATCCGCAGCGGATAAACTGAAAACTATACCTCCGTCAATAAGTAGGTGAATTGAAGACATGTCGGATGACATCAAACAACAGACCACAGCTCAAATTAAGGCAAGTGGTCATTTTGTATTACAAATGGACGAATCTACAGACATAACAAACAGTTTTACTCGTTTACATGAAACATGTGGGACGGAGACTTACAGGAACAATTTCTCTGCACAAGAGAGCTCCCTACTACTACTACTGCAGAGGACATTTTCAGCTCAGGTTCAAACTGCACCATCTTTACATTAAATCATTTTGAGAATTTGGGTCGCGGCTTGTCATTAAGGGGTGATGGTGGGTCCCACAGCGAGACAAGTTGAGAACCACTGTCCTAAAGGATCCACATAGGACATAAATAAGTAAGTAAACATTTAAGAGAATAACAAAATATTACAGAATTTCTCTGGTATTAATATGCTAGTATAATAGTATTTGGTAGTTTTAGATATTACTTGTTTGCATTATAGAATTGTGTTTAGTGTGGTCAACAAATTATGTTTCTATATATTATTTTTATAAAATAAAATGTATAGCATAAATACATTTGCCTCACCTAAAATTATTTGAATTATTTTGCCATTTAGGTTGCATTTAAATAAGCTGATCATAAACCTCTGATTCTCGTATCGTTTACCGTTTGTTTCATAAAGTCACGGTAAACCAGAGAGACTTTTAGCAATAAAACGGGTCATTTAATGCTACTACGAGGAACTTTATTTTTGGGTTGATTTTGGCGGCCCCTGAGGATAAAAGCGATAGTGTTTCCAAGCATCAGAGTCTCCAGTGACTCCCTTCTCTCCAGCAGGCCCAGCAATACGGCCTGGGTCTCCAGCATGGTGTTGTCGGTGTTGGCTCCCATAAGGGACCAACGGAGCAGCGAGGAGAAGCTCTGCTCATGGCTGCAAGAGGAGACACTGCTGCTGGGTGTGGAGCTCTCCTCCTCCCAATCGGAGCTTTCGACTGCAGGTCAAAGGCTGCAGCGAAGTCGGATCTGGGTCCGTCTGTGGTGTGCTGGTCGCTGCCTGAGGCCCCGTCGGAGTCTGAGCTGAAGGAGGTTCTTGTGAACCTGCACGCTGTAAATTGTTCCGTCTGATCAGGGAATCAGACCCGATGATGTGTATAAGAATAACTATGTAGATATAGCCAAACTTCTAGCTGATGGTCTCGTTCACTTATGTAGGTCATATAGAGGCATCAGTATTAGATTGAGACGGGTTCACAACCAGTTAAAAGTTCCTCACAGTGGCTTTAATTACTTCTATTATGCAAAAATAAATCTCACTATTTACATGTATTTACATGTGTCAATTGACTGTGGATTTCATTGTGGACATCAACCATGTTTCAAAATTACCACAATGCATGGGCCATTCTGTTGCAGAGACAGTCAAATCTCAACTGAGTTGGCAAATGACTTGTGGTCAGTGAGGTGATCCTCACACATAGAGGCCAAAGAGCAACGGACAGATTGACTGCAGCTTTCTACTGACCACTAACCAGACAGATACACGGGGCAAAGGAAGTATTGACCCAGTATCCTTCCCTATAGACTTTAATCAGTTATTTTCAACCAAGTAGATCAACAACCACTGGAGTGGAGGGTCACATCTTTTACAGTTACAGTAAGTGCTAACAGAACGAAACAGCATGTTGCATGCCGCCGAACAAACAATCCTGACTCAACAAAAATGAGTCAATATTCTAGTTAAGGAGAAAGGGATCAAAACTGACAAACCATTGCTCGGCCGCACATTGAATCATTGCAGACTCTCAACATTTTACATTCTCATAATGCACACATAGATCCTGCCGGGGCTCAGCCATACCCCGTACTTTACGCCCGCTTCCCATGTCCCGATCTATAGACAGATAATTGTATAACTTCAGCTCGCTGAAATCTTCACCTTGTTTTGCAGTCTACTGAGTTATTGGAGGCTTCTTGATCTCGTCTTCCTCCTCCACCTGTGTGTCTGGGTTGTTGACGTCTGCGCCGCCAGACTCGCCCTCCTGCTTCTGTCCAACCCACCACTGTTTGAAGTGGGTGTTGAGTCGCTCCAGGATGTCGATGGAGTGGTTGATGAGGAGGGACAGCCAGGCCAGGCCGAAGAAGATCCACGAGGCCATGAGGACGCTGTACCACTCTGGGTATATTTTGTCCGGATTGCTGTCTGGAAAGGAAAGACTCCGTTAATACAAAGCTGAGTACAGCGCGTTACCAAATACCTTTTTTTTTTAATGCAGCTCAGAGGAAAGTGAATGGTCTTGGCACTCGGGATCACAATGTGCCTGTGATCCGTTGGCCGTACCTGCCACGAAGTCTCCAAAGCCAATGGTGCTGAGGGTGATGAAGCAGTAGTAGATGGCCTGGGAGAAGGTCCAGCCCTCATGCAGTTGGAACACAATCATGGGCACGACAAAGAAGAGCACTGCCCCGGACAGGTAAGACACCAGGTGGACGAAAAAGCGTGTACACCTCTGTCGAGAGAAGTGTTCCAAAAAGTAACTCCCAGAGCAGTCTGAAACGGACTTAACCAATAGATTAGATGATTAAAGACCTCCTCACCTTCCGCCCGGTCTTCCCCTCGAGGAAGTCAGAGATGTTCCTCTCTATGGCAAGCATGTACTTGCCCACCCTGTTGAGCACCACCAAGTTGAGCGGGATGCCAATAAGTGCAAAGAACACGCAGAAGATCTGGCCAGCGGTGGAGCTGGGACTTATGTTCCCATAACCTGCAAAAAACTGAAAGCTGTTAGTGTGTTATCTCGTTGTGGTGGAGGGAGAAGAACCGTGAGAGCCTTTCTTTTTATTGGTCAGTAAGAGGTTTAAACACTCAACTCTTTTTACCTACAGCCAGAAGGGCTCAGGCGGGAGCCTCTCAGGGGGCTCTTGGGCCAAGGCAGTATCTCATCTTCACCGAGCTTCACCGACCAATTTATTGTTTTTGTTGATGATATTCAAAAGTATTATTATATCCAATGTGCTTATTGTTTATGGTTCACTTAGTCCTCATTCAGGGTTCATGATTCATCATAATAGATCCTGCCCCCTAACAAGAGTCCTATGGAGCCAAATCCATGTCAATAGTTTTGATCATTTGAAAAAGAATTTGAACCTGAAAGTTCAAGTTGTGGTCTTGAACATTGAAAAATACAGCAATGTATTCAAAATAAATATAAATTTATTATGTATTAAAAATAATTAAAATAAATAAAACAGCTCGTTTATGAAACAGTAATTTTCCAAATTATTATTATTATTCCAATGGCTTATTTAGAAATTGCGGTCTAAAATGGGTCAATGGGTTGAACATTTAAACACAAGTGTAAAATCCACTTTCAGTTATTCTAACATCAAATGAAAACTGGTCGTTGACCAAGTGAAAAGCCTGACATTATCAAATCACAGGTGTTTTTGCTGCATGAACAATTCGACTGTTTTTGGGGCCTGATTAAAAGATCTCTTGGGTTTCATCCTGCGACGACTAACCTATAGTTGTGACCACGGTGGCAGCGAACACAGCCGAGCTGGTGAATTTCCAGAAGCCGTCCGACGTGTAGTTGCCTTTCAAACTTAGGCCCGCTTTGGACGCCTCTTGAACAACCTGAAACAGACAGAAAATTACAAACTCAAATGGTCAAACTCAATGGAAACAATGGCGTATTTCATGAACTTTATGACTCACAGTTATGCAACTCGTGTACGTATTGATCCAAAACCTTTAGGGTCTTTTAGGTCAATATAGTACAGCTGTCTGCATGAGAAGACCCCTCTCAGCACTGTGTCAGGGACAGCAGATATGTTGACACAGTCTGTTATGTAACAGTCTTGAGTTCATCACCAGTGTGGGAAATATTTCCAAAAGAAATATATAACAGTCTGAGACCTGTGTACTCACTGGCGATATATTTGTTTTATTTTGGTTGTGTTAATGCATATGGTATACATTTGTGTAAGTATAATTTTCTACTTTGAATTTGGGAAGTTCAACCTAAGCTTCCAATAATAAGTCTATAATAAGCTGGGTAGCCAAAATACAGAGTTATACGTACTCTGAGATATGCTCAGACCCTTGAGGACCAAAATGTCCTGTCTTCTAAAATGTAGTTTTTATAATTTTCCAGAAGGTTGAGTCATTTTCTAAAACCCTATTTCCCTGGTGTCCAAAATCAATGTTGTTGCTATTCATTGACATATCCCAGACTGTAAAAAAATTAAAATGAAATGTCCCACTAGTATTATTTTGTTTTGTTTAGTCTTTTAGTGGCATTATGTAAACAAAGTCATTTAAAGGGTTAAAATTCTGAAAATGAATTAATATCTGGTATGATCAGGACTGAGTGCAAAATTCAAACTAACTGACATTTCTGTCCTTTTAAGGGTTAAGTTCATTAACTTTGATGCAACACTTCCTAATCCCAAACAGATCTATCTCTGTAAGGATTGTCTTATTTCACTAAACAGACTTTAATGGATTTAAAGTGCCTCTTCATGCCTTAATGTACAATGAGGATGCACTCATATGAATCTACAATGCAAATCTAATGGCTTTCTCTCATCCACTGGCAGAATTATCAACAATCTGTTGTTTTACTTCCTCTACGAACAGCGTGTGAACATGTTTTTTTTTTTTTTTTCAGAAACATATATCAAGGTCTAAAGGCAATCTCATCAGTTTCCAAGGAAAAGATTGCATAACCTTGCTGATGTGTAAATCAAGTCAGCGGCGCTGGGAGGCTGGAGAAGCTAGTATTTGCAATCAGGAAGTTGCCTCTTTGCTCATAATGGACCTCTAAGTGACTGCAAATGGCCCTTCATTGCTTGGAACTGATTTTACTGGCAGATTAGTTTGTTGCTCTTGTACACTGTACTGCTGAATTGTCCCACTACTGTTGTCATCATACCTGAATGCAGGGGCGTTTCTAGGATTGAAAGACAGGGGGGGCTTAGCTCCAAGGGGAGTGGCATGTTTGCGTGCATAGCGAGCGGCAATTTTTTTGGGGCCCATTTGGGGCCATGGATATCCATTGTTTCAGACAGTTTATAGAGTGTGATTTTGCTCTGTAATTTTGCTTGCATTCGGTATATGATAACACAAGAGACAGAATTTCAGGGTCATAGTGAAATCTGACAACACAAATATGAACTTTTCTCAAATAAAGAGAGAAATAATTTTCCTGCTTGTAAAGGAAAGATGGATAAACTAGCTTTCATATCCGCGTCACTCCCAAATCCTAATTCTTAAAGGGACCGCACACAATGGATGGAGAATGGACCTGACAGTGTCAACTTTATGTCGTTAAGTATGATGATAGGCTGTTGGATTGTAATTTGAACAGGGAGGAGACATACAAACCAGAACGCACACACATATGTAGCATGTTAGAGTTATAAATAACTTGTCCATATGAGAAACAATAGTTTAATTTAATGGCATCACCAAATTTTTTTTTTTTTTTTATTAAAGCCAAATTATTTGGGGGGGTTGAAGAACATTTTAGGGGGGCTTCAGCTAATCTAATGATTTATTAGAAGGGAAAGTAAAAAACATAGAAAACATGTGATCGGTCAATATGAGTTTTACATGTATTTTAGATCAGTAAAAGTGATTGTTTTGGCAGCAAAACGTATCAACTGCCTGATGCAAAGAGTAATGAAAAACATTTAAAACTACATTCTTCATGTCTCGTCCTCACCCTGGGAGAAAAGGGTGAGGATTCATTAACCTGCCATCGTTTTGACGTCCCGTGCCTCACCTGAGCCACCGCCTCCAGGCCTTCTTGGTTCAGACAGCTGTACCTCGTGAGCAGCGTCTTTTTGTTCAGCAGCAGGAGACCGATGTCCTTTTGACCGAGATCCCCCTCCAGCTTCCAGAAAACCACCCCGCCGATCAGCACGTAGGTCACGTAGACCACCCCGAGCATGAGGATGGAGGGCACCCACGCCAAATTGAACATTTCCTTTATCCTCATCTCGGAAGCCCTGGTAGAACTCGTGGGATCCAGGCAAGCTCGGTGTCTCGACCTCTGCAGCCGGGAACAGTGAGGAGTGAGAGTGTACCTACTTGGCTTCCCGTCTTTCCGTGCATTGCAGGCAAATGAACCTCCACCCGCGCTACTGTCTCAACCACTCCAATGGCCTGTCATGCAAATCTAGCGGGGCGAAATGAGAAGAGGGAGAGACACCTGCACAATGTCGGGCTATAGGTGACGACTAATATGGGTATGGTCAAATTTTCTTGACAAAATGAGCTATAGTCTATGAGGTCATGGAGTCATGGCAGGGGTCCATTCAAGACCGGTCGCAGTAGTTGGCTTGTTGAGACGTTGCACAAGCTGAGCAAAAAAATAACTACTGCACGTTATATATGATGCTATATTGCAGTTGCGTTACATTCTTCAGGATGACAGTCGTCTTACTGACCGGTCTTAAGACAGAAAGGGACAGTTGTCGCTCTGCTAACAGAGTTTTGAGTGAACATAATGACAAAGCATGACGGGCAAAAGGCCTCCTCCCAGCTTCCAGCTGCCTTTCTGGGATCAGTCCTGTGTGCTCTCAGGTCACCCTGACACCAACATCTTGATTAATGTGTTTGTTTTAGATAGCCCTCCGTGCTCAATTCACCAGAGTTTACCATCAGTACACAAACGCAGATGTGGACTCACGTGATCACACACAAAACACACATATAGCCTACACATGGGTGCTCTGTAATTCTAATTGCTGTTGGGTAGCATACAATAAAAACAAGAGTACAAAAAAAACACAGATTCCTAGCTCAGCAGAAATTCACAAGTCGAAGATGGAAAAACATGATTTCTACCTGAGACAAAACACGTTTTCATATTATGAATTTATAATGAACCTGTATTTATCAAACAAAAAAAGGAAAATCTTATTATTAATCCCTGTTTATGTATTAGATGTATTTTAAGCTGTTATTTTGTTAGAATTATACAATATTATAATATATAGTATATATGTATATATTGTATATGTTATTTTCTAATATAAAAAATGAAAAGCACATTTTTGCAGAATTACATCCTAGTAAAAATCGGAGGATGTTTTACAGAATGAACAATTAGGCAGACATAGGTTAAATCCTTGTTTCTAATTGGTTAACCCTACTCTTGATCACATGATCACTTGTGAGTTGTTCTCAAAGGTTACTCCCAGGTGCAGAGATAGACTCAGGGCTCAATACAAACCTAGTAGGGTGGTCCCTTAAGCAGCCATATGCACTATTTTTCAGGCCATTTAATAATATAATGCTTTTAAATCATTTGGGGAAAACACAATAATCATCAAAGAAAAAAACAAACATCCTAGAGCCTCCATCCTATTTTGTATATAATTGTTCTTCAACTGTAATAAATTAAGAAATAAAGAAAATAAGAATAAAGACAATGAAAAGATTGAGAATAATAAGATAAAAATTAATAAAGTATTACTAATCTTGAAGCTTGAAATCTTGAAATTTTTGTTGTATGTAGAGTGAATCCATACCATACTAGTCTGGGCTACTCTAATTGCAAAGCAAGGATCCCCAACAATGCCATGTAGTCTTCAATACTCTGAATTAAATATTAGGCCAACAGAAGAACATTTACAACTTTATATTTGATTTCTTTAGGGAAAATCATGGCAGTGGTAGCAGTAGCAGTAGCAGGAGCAGTAGTAGCAGTAGTAGTAGTAGTAGTAGTAGTAGCAGTAGTAGTAGCAGCATGACAATGTTAGGGCGGACACAGATAGCAATAGCAAATATCTTACAAAAGCAGTTTCTGCTAATAACTGCGACATCTGCTTGCTCACTGTACCGTAGTATGTACAGAATCTTACATGAAGAATATAGACAAGTAGATTTCCCATCTACAGTCCACCATCAGATCTTTGACGCGTCTTCTAGTTTACTGGATGACACGTCCTCCTCCTCCTCCTCCTCCTCTTGTTTCTTGAAGCCTGGATGAGTCAGGCCAATCACATGCTCCATTATTCTGGCTCCCATGTTGAGGATAAGAGCAAGCCAAGCCAAGGCAAATATAATCCATATGCCTGCAAGGCTCCGGTACAGAGAGATGTACTCCTTGCCCGGGTCGGTCCCTACAGGAATTAACATTGTTAGAACATGTTCGATCATCCCAGATAAAGACAGCAGGTCAGAGTGTCGATTTTCTTCCTTTATACATTGAAATTACAACACAGTTAATGTCTCAAAGCATTAAAGGGCATCAACGTGATCTTTCCACCACATTAGTGTTTGTTTGCTCTCTCTACTCACCCACTACATAATCTCCAAAACCAATGGTGCTGAGGGTAATGAAGGAGAAATAGAAGCCCTCGCCGAACGTCCAGCCTTCCACAAAACTGAATAGCAGAGGAGGAATGACCAAAAACAGCAGGCTGCCTGCAATCAAGAACAAGCTCACGGCCAGGGCCTCAACCGTTTGCTAGGAAAGAAACAGGTGAGATCCAGAGGCATCAGTCAGGCATGAAAAGAGGACTTTTCTGGGCATATTGTATAGGTTTGATCGCCGCAGTGATGGCTAGCAAATGCAAAGCAAAAACTAGATAGGATGGGCTCACACCAGCCGCAACGCCAAATCTGACTAGGGGGGTAAAGTGGGAAAGGGGCAATCACTTCGAGCTTCCTGCCCCCCTGTTTTCAGAGCCCTTGCTCGGACCACACCCATCTTGAAACTCAACCTTTATCATGATCTCAACTACACAAGTGAGAAATATAAACGCCTGGAAAAGTATTCAAAACCAGCTCTGTAGTTAACCCGTTCTCACTCCTTGGTCAGTGTCCCTCAGCGTCTGATATCGACGCACGGATGCACCCTTTATCGTCTGTATGAGACGCACAGGGCTTTCAGCTAATGTAAACCCATCCATGACATCATTTGACGGTCAGAGCAACCGACATAAAATAAAGACTGCTAAAGTCCGCTAAGGGTAGGTGGGAGGGGTGGTGCACCAAGGAGGCCGCTGTTTGTGTCCCGTGTGAAACTCAAATTTAACTTATTTATACGTGGGACGTTAGTGAGTCAAGTTAACGTCATCCACGATCCTTTTCTAACCCTAACTGAGTGGGTTTGTTGCCTAAAACTTACTTCCTGTGAAGACGGAAGTTTATTTTTAAAATACATTATGCATATAATGAGTGGAAACTGACATGCCGTCCCTGGGTCCAAAACTGACGCTGGAGGGGAACCTAGAGCGTTGATGCCGAGAGACACTGACCAAGCGTCGGGATCTGTCGAGTTGGGAGTAAGAATGTTGCTGTGATATGTTCCCGCTACAGTAGGTGTCTCCAGGACCGCAGACGTAAAAGGCAAAAACAATACCAATATAGCTGGTAATGACTACAAAGATGTCTAGAAACCATATCCCAGATGTTTTAGTAGCGGCTAGTGGCTAATGCGTCCGTACCTTGTGCGGAACAACTGAGACCATTCCCCTCTCCAGTCGACCTAGGTGGATGGTGAGACACTTGCCCAGCTGTTTAAGGAAGGCCAGGTTCAGTGGGATTCCACACAGGGCGTAAAACACACAAAACACTTGCCCGGATACAGTGCTGGGGGAGAGGTTGCCGTAGCCTGCAGACAAGGCAACGGTTTGTCATTACTTTTTCATCAAATCGGACCGTTAAAATGCTGAATAATGTAAAGATGCTTACCTATAGTGGTGACCACTGTGCCTGCAAAAAAGAAGGAGCTACTGAAATCCCAGTTGCTGGGGTTTGTTGAGTTGCCTGAGGGATTCACTCCTTTTTCCCAGGCATCTAAAATTACCTGCGAACAAAGAAGTGTATAAGATCACACTTACCTCGTGTTGACGATATACTCTATTAATCCCTTCCGTAAATATCTTGGATCATGACCCACTTATTGATTTATCAGGTCAGGTTACTGTAACACCATTTATTGCTATGCACCTAATTATAAAATTGATCTCTCAATTTCTGTGACAAGAACTCCCCATTGCAGTTATGTAACATGAATTCCTTGAAGAACTGCAAAGAAAGTCAACCTGAACAAACTTCTCCAAGGCCGGTCCGTCCAGGCAGGTGTAATTAGCCAAGAAGTTCAACTTCTCCACTTGGAAGTAGTTCCGGTTGTTGCTCTCAGCCTCCCGCTCCAGTATCTGGAAGATGATGGCCCCAACCAGCAGGTATGTAAAGTGGGCCACAATCAAAGATACTGTCCAGTTCACTCTGACCCGCACCAACTGGAACCTCGCCATCAACCTCCTCGAGCACCGGAATGGACCCAAACGATGCGCGAGCTCAGAGAAGAGGTCAATCACTTCAGAAAGGACTAACAATCAAAGACTTGATGAAATACACAGATCTCATGGGTAGCTCCCTAAAGATTGCTTCCACTACTGCAGAGTGTGGCATTCTTCTCCAAAAGAGTGAGTAGGAAAGAGTCAAAAATGGAAACAAAAATGTATTCAAATTGCTTTTACAGACAGATTTAAATCACAGCAACAGTGAGAAAAAGTTGATGTTTGGCATCTTGGGGTGACGGCTCTAACTGGATAATCCTCTAAAGGTAAAAGATCTCGACTCAATGCTCTTACTCTGATTGGTCTGAGTATCATAGATGTCTGGGCTTTGATTTATGGGTTGCTCGGGTAACGATCACACCCCTCTTCACCATTAGCACGACATCTGGACTCACACACATACACTTTCAACCGTTTCCACTAATAAAGAAGCGGTGGCAGCATCTTGTCAGCGGAACGAAAGTTAATATTTTACCCGACTGTTGTCTGAGCACCCACAGCGCTGATACCAGAGCCTTTCAATACAATACAACATTGCAGGGGAGTCATTTTATCGGAGGACTATTTCAACCAAACTACTGGATTCCTGAAATTACTTTGCAGAAATTGCTTTTGAATTGTGGACTGTGGAGAGGTGAGAGGAGCACTACTTGACTGTGGGCCATAAACCAAAGAGTTGAAAGATGTGTCACAAGAGAACTTAACGGGGTTTTATGGCTGCAGTGTTTAGAAAGCTGGCATGTTAAAATAGCCTGAGAAGATGTAAGAAAATAATCGACTTCAGAGAAGAGGCCAATAATGACAGCTATAATTATCATAACAACTTCCAGTCCTGCTGTTGGTGTCCCAAAGTCACTGCTTGTCTTCCTGAAAATAACTTTCCAAAGATGCTACTTACATATCATGACATTATGTAGCCTAATATGTTGTCCCAATGCTACAACAGTTATTAAACACACCCTCTGGAGGCTGTATATTCATTGGTCAACACACTGAGTATGTTTTCTTCATAGGAACATAACTTTGATTTTAATAAAAATCTTTTTCGTGGAGACGGACCTTCAGTTAGCTTCAGTAGCAACTCAAAATCAGCCAGTGCAAGACCAAGTGTCAGAGGTCTGATCCTGGACCGCCCCGGCTCCCAGCGGGATCAGCAAACTTTCTGCTGCCGCCCTTACACAGATGAGACCCACCAGCCCGCTGTGACCCCTGATGCTGGGGTTTTAATGCTGGCTGAATTCGAGTTGCTACAAAAGCTAAATGAAGGTCAGTCTCCACAAAAGATGACAGACACAGTAGCTTAGAAAATAGCAATACGGCCACTGAATTTGATGAATTTACCGACGTAGAATAATTAGCAGGCCAGCGCACTCTCAGGTTCCTCAGCCTCACCCCCTACCGCAGCTTTGTAGACAGACCTAGCAACTCAAAATCAGCTAGCACAAATCCCAGCGCCGGGATCACAGCCGGTTTGGTGGCAGTGTAAATGCATTTTTTGAGAGAAAGTTAAAGGCATACATATGTATGTATATGAAAAAGCTTAAATAAAATGTACACACATGCAAATGCACTATATTTCCTACATGTTTCTGCTGTATAAATAAATTCTAGAACTGTTCTATAATAATATTTAGAGCAAGAATGAATATATATGTTTTTTTGGGGTTCCTGGCAGCTTCATACTTCAGACTTATAGCTGCATTTGTGCTGAGAAACAGAAGCCATGCATGTGGTGTTTAAAATATGCAAAACAAAGATGGAAAAAGAAATGGAATGCATAGAAAGTCTGCAGAAATTAGCCAAAATCAACCAGAGGGTTAAAAACAAATTTTACACTTGAAATGGAACAGCAGCCTCTGGGCTGGTGGAATTGGTGTAAAACCAAAACGCATTAATTAGCTACCCCTGCCTCTGAGGTGGAAATATTTCTTTAGAAAGTCACTGAAATCTGTGGCTCAGAGGTAAAGCGAATGGGTGAATGTTAACATGTAGTGTACAGCACTTTAAGTGGTCAGATATATAAAGTCCAAATCCATTACTGAAAGAAATAACAGATGACTTAATTAAAGAGGGCTCCTTCTCCCAGGCAACTGGATGCAAATTGTGCAGCTGCTTGTCATCTGCCAAACAAATCAAGGCAAAGCTATGCAAACAGGTTGCCTCCAATCTTCACAGGTTGTTTTCTGTCCAGGGAAGGTGTGTCTGAACCGGGATGGGCCGATTTTGATTACCGCCGACGTTTACGGATACAGTGAATGTCAGGAGCTCCGGGGCGGTCGGATAGTTTGACTGCTATTTATCTGCACTGAACTATTCAATGAAATGTTGCCATAATTGAATATAAGCATCCATTCAGCTCAATACATAATAATCAATACTCCATGCTACGAAATGTTCTTAACCTTATTTGAATTTGAAATACTGCATCTTAAGGAAGCCCTGTACAGATGCATTTCTAGGGTGTTTCCCTGCCTTCTGCCCAGTGCATGCTGGGATAGGCTCCACCTCCCCACGTCCCTCAATAGAAGTGAGCACAGACGGATGTATTTTAAGGAACAGATTACCCATTAAATAACAGCTACACAAGAATTGATTTTGCTCATATAATTTGCTTTCATCATCTCATGTACTATGTGATACAGGCTTGTGTTTTAAGGAGAACTCTTCAATACTGCATTTGTAATGTATCTAAGGGGGGATTTCTATATACCAGCGTAATGTGGAATCAATTTTAGTATTTGAACTAATGACTAATGAAACTAAACATCTATACCCTTCATGGCTGTAGTTTGTGAAGAATATTTTAAGGGAGTCCATTCTGCTATTTCATCGATCAGAACGTTCACAAAACTGAACAGGACAGGCAGAAAGGTAGTGGGGGAGCAAACAGCTGACATCATGTGTTTGTCAGTGCCAACTTCACATGCTGAATAATCTCATAAACAATGGAGGCTAGTAAAAGTATACTCTACTGTGTTGTAGCTTTATTTTTTAATTTTTTCATCTTTTCTGCAGATTTATATTTATCCGTAAACATTTGACATACCTCTGTTTACAACATTTTACACAAAATGTGTTACATGTGGAATAAAATGAAAGCAGACAGAAATGAAAAATGCATTTGTCATTGTGCATGTGGAAACTTCCTGTGACGATTTTCTTCTTTAAACAAATATTGGAGCCAACTGGCTTCCAGTTGCCCGCTCCTTCGTCTGATATCTTGAGACAACATTTGTTCAGATCAAATGGCCGGCGCAGGCTGTGATTTATTCTGCTGCACATTATGCCAAAGGCATACTCTCCGGTGTGTGTATGCAAATAAAGTCAGACAGGATGTGAGGCTTGTGATGAGATCTCTTATTTTAGGTGAAAGCTAGTATGTTTTGGATCCAGATGAGATGATTTGTTCACACATCTTGATTCAAAGTCCATCTTTTCTCGATAGTGTTTTATACACGTTTTTAGGACAGATGTGGAGGTGGTACGAGCAGTCAGATGACGATAAATTCATGTCAGAACTTGTTATTACTGATGTTGACCTGAAATACATAAATAAAAAATAAAAAACACAAGACAGATTAGACATTCAGTTGACATCAGGCGGCCACCTCCTGTTCTGAAAAGTGAAGCCAACGCAGAAGTGCCTTAAACTCAAATTCTCTCTACTGACCATCAGGGGGCGACTCCTCTGGTTGTATAGAAGTCTATGAGAAAATGACTCTACTTCTCTCTTGATTTATTCCCTCAGTAAACTTTGTAAGTTTATGGGCTCAATCGTTAGTGTCAAGTCTTCTCCACTGTGGTTGCAAAAAACAAAGATGGCGACGGCCAAAAACCACAAGTTGCGAAAATTTGAAAAACACACTTGCAAGACTTGTCTCTTGCCGACCTAATATAACTCTCGCCAGAGTTTTACAACCTGTGGATAATCCTCTAGACACAACCCTTCAAAACCGTCACAGCGACACTTCTTACATACAGTCTATGGTTGTAAGATGTACTAGAGAAATAAGCAAGAAAATGACCCAAAAGCAATATGACAAGACAATGTGCTTTGGCTTGGTCTTACAAACTCAAACATTTTTGTATTGTGTTTGTTTTTAATGTCTTTATTTTCAGAGTAACAATCCCTGAATGAAACACCCTTAAACTATGACTTACAACTACAGGAACAGCCAATCTCAACTTGTGCTGTTTGTTTTATTAAAGCCAAGTTCCCTACACATCCCAGCATGCTCTAGTGCCTTTTAAAGCTGTTTTGATAGGAGGGATAGCGCCACACAGGGGTTACCAAACAGCCAAAGAGAGGGGCTTTCCTGTCAAAGCACAGTCGCTGTCCAGCTTAGTAGTGCCAGGTTAAAGAGGCGTGAAATGAGTAGTCCTTGCCGACGTGGGGTAAGAAAAGAAAGGAAGAAAGAAAAGAAAGAAAGAAAGCCTTCAGAGGACTGTTTCTCTGTCTGGCCATCGCTCAGTCTGTTCACATGACCTCAGCCGTTCTGAATATCTAGTGGCAAACCACAAGACTGCCAAGTCCACTTTCCTGTGTGCCAAAGTAAGCAGCTACACGAGGGTCAAAGGAGAGAAGAACCACGTCAGAGCTAAAGAAGAGTCGTCGTAGAGCTAGAAAGGGTGAGGCTGCTTAGTGGGTGAGGGAGTTTTGTGAGACCCGTTTGTGTCAAAATATGGGGTCTTCACCAAAAAAGGAATTCCCTACAGTCCAGCGCAGTATGGAACATATAGAATGTGATGTGTATTAATAAAAAAACAACTTTCAAAAGCTCAAAAGTGTTGTGAGGTATCACACCACCAGAGGGCAGCGTTGAATGCAGAATGCATATTGTTTGAAAGCTTTGTGAGTAGATTACATCTTGTATTTGTGTGTGCGCGTGTGCGTGCGTATTACCTGTTCTGTTCAGGAGGTTTTGCCTGGCTTTGACAAAGGCCAGGATGTCAGCATCAGTCTGCTGGTCTCCAGTCAGGGGAATAGAGGAGGATGAGAGCTTGGTGGTGGAGAGGGCCCTGAAAATGTACATGCGTGTAATGTAGTATGATAACATCAGCAGAAGTTCTTCAGTTTTGTATCACAAATCAAGGCTTAGTATTCTCTAACTTGTAGCAAATCCTTTGTTTTGTAGTAAAATGTTTGTTAACTGTTCTTGTGTGAAACGCTTTAACCCTTGTGCCTCACTGGGAGCGTTTTCAAGTGTTTTCATTTAGAAAGTTTTGATCATGTTGGCTGTTAAAAATGCCTTAATGCCAAAATACAGACACTCTCGACTTTCTGAACCCACAGCCATTACAGTATAATATCATGCATTCTATTACATGAGGCGTTCAATCCAGAGCCCTGTCTTCAGAAATTTAGTTTGTACTAGTTTCCAGCAGGTAGAGCCATTTTCTCACGTTTACACTGGGGGCATTGCTGTAGATACAACGGTAAATAGACTGTACTTGTACAGCACTTTTCTAGTCTTTCCGAACACTCAAAGTGCTTATTTGTCATCATTCACCCATTCACACACTAATGACAGGGGCTAGGTACCACCTGCCTATTAAACTATCTCATTCATACACCGTAGGCACAGCTACGGGAGCAATTTTGGGGTCTTGCTCAAGGACACATCGACATGGAGCCGGGGATCGAATCGCCGATCCTCTGATTGAAGGACGACCCTGCTCTCCACTTAGCCACAGTCGCATCAGAATCAGTGTTGCTGCTAAAAACTTGATATATCCCAGACTGTGAAAAAAAAGCATTTAGTGTACAGAAAATAATCACATTTTGGTGCACAATACCAACAGTGGTATTGTGCAAACAAACTGGTATTTAAAACATTCCCTTATGAATTGAAATGAATATTTTGGTAGTTATGATCAAGACTGATGTTGGTTAAGAGATGAAACTCAACAATATTGATATATAATCCTATGGCGGTTTATTGACCTCTAAGGACTTCAGATCAACCTTTTTAAAGAGAGGCACAAGAAAGAACAACCTTAACAGGTAACAGCTCCTCATATCATGGAGCACTGTAAAAACAACAACAACAACAACAATAGTATCTCTGCTCTACAAGTGGTTGTTGGAGTGACGGACAAAGTGAGAGTGTTTTACTGTGGTTGTTCCAGCAGCAGCGCTCAAGCGAGACCCCTGGTCTTCGATTGGTTAGTAGAATTTGGAGACATTACTTCACAAATAAATAAAAAGTTCAGAGAAAACACACCGCGCGGCTATAAAACCTCCAGGTCCAGGCTGTATGTATAGACTTAAGAGCTAATTCAAACATGTGGGATATGCTAGTGCATTGACTCTGCATACACTATGTAAATAGTGGTCTCTCTTCGTTTCTCAGTATCACCACATACATGTGCTCATCTTAACCACAAGAGGGAGCAACAGTGCAACGTAGCTGTCACTGTAACATTGTATGCACACTGGGTTTATTCAGGTTCAAGTTAAATTTTGGACCTCTAGGACCTTTTCAAAATCAAATAGTAGACCTGTTTTAGTAGGGACAATATGGCCTAGGTGATTTTTCATTATTATATCACATTTACTTATACGTATATAACAGTAATTTCAGATAATATAATTAATAGTATTAATGCAAGTTGGACCCGTATACTTGGAAGAAAATGGATCGATGAACTCATTTAAGATCAGTTAATCGACAACGAGCTTCCTTGCTACTGTAGTGACAGTAGCGACAATTTCACTTTTAGTTTAGAGGTTTGTAACGTCTCCTCACAGCCCACAATGCTAAATGATGAGCAGATGCTCTGGTTCAAAATGAGACCGAACTTATCTATTAATGTCGGTTTTTGAGCAACGACATGGGTCTGCAACAGACTAGGTAAGGCCTAGCTCATTGCTGGAAGTGCATTTTTGCTACGGAAAATATTATTGGTCGCTTTTAACCTGTCGGTTAAGAGCAGTGAGGAGTCAATGGGGGTATAAAACGGTCAATAAAATATGCTTTACAAAAGTGTGAATCACAGCAACCACAAGAGGTCCTTGAGCATACAGTTATTAATGAGCACAGAAAATATCAGGCTGATCAGCAGTATATGAGGTTAGCTGTGGACAGACAGACAGATACAACACGCACACATACACGACTGAACCGTTACGCCTGGAAGACATAACTAACTATAGCGGGATGTATAACCTTCTCAGGTTAAGGTTTTTGAAGAAACTGAATTCAGTGCTCTGCAGGCAACCTGCTGCAGTGCGAGTACTGAAAATGGCCAACGTCTGGACAAATATTTTGGTCATTGTTTCTGGGAATGTGAAACAATATCTACGTCATAATGTTGTCATGGTAGACTTGTAGCAGACATGGGATGTCAAATAGCACTTGGCCAATCATCCCCTGGTAGGTGAAGCGAAATAAACACAATGACATTATCTTTCAACATTTGTTCAATATTTGTTCCATGGAAACGAGCAGTGAGTGACACGACCACTACATCTACATTTACATCTGTTAAGGGCGGAATCGAACGACGGACAAAAAGACAAAGTCATCATCATCAAAATGTGTCTCACCGAAATCCTGGAGTGCTAGGCGAAGGCAGCTGCAAGGTTCCATGTGGCGACCCTGTGTGACATCTTGCCGTGGCCTCTGACTCCTAGTCACAACCATTGAACTATTTCAAAAACATCATTCCATACTGGTGACAGTTAAACACAATGGGGCCACATGTGACTTAGAGCTGGGGGGAACAGAAGACCTCCAGGTATTTTGTGTTGTCTTGCTCCATCTCTGACTCAAAGTTTGATCAATTGCATGTGTACTGGTTTCCAAAAACAGAACAATAAATGGACAAACACAGCTGTAAAAAGAGCCTGCTTCCTGCTTGGAAGATCCAAAACTGCACATGTAAAATTCTGTCAGACTTCCTCTTCTTTCCAGTGAAAGATTCCCAAAACCTGGCGATATTGCTCTCCATTCATAAGAGAAGTGTAAAACGCCAGCAGTGTCTGCAGGTCATATGATGCTGCTTAACATCTTCTTTGTGTTTGATTTCCCAAATGTGCACAACAGCCGTCAAGCCCAAGCAAAGTGTGTGTGAGACCAGAGACTCAGTTCTCTGTATGTGTTCTTAGTTTGGGAATTTTCATCTTTCTCTTCAAGCTTTTGCAAATAGTTGTCTTTCATTATATCGTACAAGTCTCTTAAAGGGCCAGTTTGGATTTTTAGAAGTGGGGTTGTATGAGGTACTTATCCATAGCTGGTGTATTACCTAGAGTATACGGCCATTGGTACGCCCTCAGTTTGGAGAACAAGACAGGAGCACCAGCACATGAGCAAAAGATGTACTGCCGTGGACGGGGGCAGCAGCAACATGCATTTTAGACACCTAAAGCAATCAACATCAGTTTAAGTGTACGCTATTTTTAGAATATTTCCCTTTCCCTTAAAGTCAGATAGCCCTTTCCTACGAGGAACTGAAGCCGGTATCGATGCTCTCTTCAAAGCCACAAAATCGTCTCACAAAAACAGATATTTAATTTTACCTCGCAGAACACAGGAGTGTCTGGTCTATCGTTGCCTCCATCAGTTAGGTTGTTTGTGTTGTTGTGTGACTTAAATGAATCAGAATCATAGACTGTATATAATAAGTGGACGTAGTCATCGTGACGAAGCCTCTAGTTTGGCGTTTTGGCCGTTGCCATCTTGGCGTTTTTGCAACGAGTGAATATAAGTGACCATATTCGGATGACGGAGGACTGATGTAGAGACGTTGTATACGGTTCTGGTAGGGTAGCGACCTGTCAATCAGAAGGTAGCCCCGCCCTAAAGCATCCCCTGCTTTATGGTCTATTTGACTCTAAATGGACCATCATTTACCTGAAACCAGCGATTGAGACCAAAAACACACGTTTACAATGTTTACTGAGGTTGCCAGCTGATCAGATCTAACCAAAGTCACCCAATAACACAAACAAACTAACCGATAGAGGCAGCTGTAGACCAGCAACTCCTGTGTTCTGCGAGGTAAAATTACTTGTATGTTTTTGCCAAAGGAGTCTGGTGGCTTTGAAGAGAGCATAGATAGCGACTTCAATTCCTGGACGAAAAGGGCTGTCTGGTGGCAAGGTAAAGCAGTGAAAATATTAGAAATATAGCGTACACTTACACCGATACAGATTTTTTAGGTGTCTAAAATACGTCCACAGCAGTACACACCTTTGCTCCCGTGCTGGTACTTCTTGTCTGTTGCTCCATCTTCAGTAGGTAATACACTGACCATGGAGAAGTACCTCATTCAACTCCACTTTAAAACATCAGGACCATCCCAAGCACAAACACTAAATTGTTATTTAGGACTGAAATAAACGCTGACTCACTCCTTATCCCCTGCTGTGTTGCTGAGAAACCTCATGAACATGTTGTCCTTGTTAGAACTCTGCTGAGACTGTATTGATGCTATTGCTGTGTTGCTTCTCTAAGCTGCTCTCCAGGCCGTTGTTTGGGGCCACATGGAATTCTGTAAAAAAACGAATTCCCGTGTAATTTTTCTCCTACACATCTTCCCACCAGGGCCCATTCAGCGTGATGCTCAACAGAGCCTGCAAGGGTCACACTGGTGCCGTAAAAGCCTCCGGAGTCAGAGACACATGCAGATCAGCTTATACGCACACGCTAGCGTGTCCTCGGAGGCCAATATTGAGAAAACGCACAAAAGAAAACAGTCATAGATACAGAGACAAAGATGAACGGACACTGCCTTCCTGGCTAATTTCAGAAAACATATCTTTGGCACTCCAGCTGTCATGCTTACAGAAGCTTTATGTGGTGTTGTCACATAGATAGGTGGAGAAAAGTAAGGTCAGTCACCTGCATGCTGGAAGCCTCCTGGCTCCACCACTTATGGAAGTCTCTCTGGAGCTTGACCTTTGCCCTCTCCAACAACAGCTGCAGGTGCTCAATCTCGGTCCTCAGCGCTTTTAGATGGTCAATGGTGCTCTTGTAACTGATGGGGGGTATTAGCAGCACCAGATTCATCTCGTGTCCACGTTACACAATATCTGCTGTGTCTAATCAATCTGAGTAGTGTCTTGGGAGAAATGTTTGGTATGTAATACATTGAAATGCCCTTTCACTACACTCACGCCTTTTTCTCCTGCTCGATGTGTTTGCACAGGTTTTCTTCAACCGGGTCGACCTCTTCCTCAACCTTTGGGCGATTCTCCGTTACACCTATGGAAGAATTGGACACAAGACACGGCAAATGTTTTAAATGCAGATAGAAATGAGGACATACTGTAGATCAAATAAAAAATACAGTCATAATGTTTTCTTCTTCTGTGGTAGTCCAGAAGCTAGTAAGCGTGCGTTTCCTTCAAAGACGATGCTTTAAGTACTTGGCCCTGGATAACAGAGGCCAAGTGTTCTCTGATGCGGGACTGGAAATAACAACAAAAGCCTGAACTGGAAGGGAGATGTTTGTGTGCTTTGCAAGCAGATTTCCTCATCAAAGCATTTATGTCACTGATCAAAATGGTCAGAAAAGAGCAAAATGAGGGAGACTTAGAGCTGTGACGCCCAGTCTTTGGTCACTAAGCTTTCAGTCAGTGAGGACTACTGCAAAGGCTTTGAAGTGGGCACCGCTGCACACACAGTGCAGGAGCACCCACGATGCGTTGGCAGTGTTTACAGCCCCACTCTGAAGGGAGCTCAATATCAAAAAGATGATAAACAGAGCTGTTATTTGTGACAAACTTGTCTAAAAGAGATCTGTAAGAGTGCAGATGTGTGGAGATTTTTTGCATTACGATGCGTTTAATTGCTTCAAGCGTCCGTGCATTGTTTAGCTGTCGGTGTGGGTAGATGGAGTGGGATATTATGCTGCTCGTCTACAGACACATGGTTACATTTGTTGCCGTGGGAATATCCATTGTTGATTTCATCTTACCAAGAGCTGCCCTCTGCCCCCTCTGCAACGCTAACTGCTTCTTCAGCTCATCTGAGAAAGAGAGAGGAAAAACAACTTTGATTTTTGCAAACACTTTTTTTGACATACATCAGAGGACATGATTAAATGATTAATTGCAAAACACCGAGTGTTCCTGACCAAACCATAGTTCAGGACTCTGATCTCATACAGAGCCCATATCACTAAGCTACTGAATATGCAAAAGCTCAGTGCAATAGGTGCCATTAAGAGTGTTATAATAAGAGACTGTATGGGCAATGGTGATTTATGTGTAAATGGGGAATTGTTTGAACGTGGTAAATGAACTTCAATGTGCTGAAAGGGCTGTGTGACAGCAGTTTCTCTTTGAGTTCACAACAGACGATTGTCCTCTGATGGCACTGACTGCAACAATACCATGAAGCATTCTGACCTGTAAATATAGTAACAGCCCTTCTCTTCACGCTGGTTTAATGTTGCAACTTAAGACTTGGGAAGGTGAGTTCCACCAAAGAACAACCATCTTTGTTCCTGTTCATCAACATGTTATATTTGACCCAAGATGTACAAGCAGTAAAAATGTGTTCTGTCAACTGATATTTCTAATTGTTAAAGGTAGGGTTGGTAATCTTCTTCTAGAACATTTTATTTGTTTTATCTGTTGAAATTGTCATTACATCCCGACGGCAATCAATAAATCAAATGGACTGACCAAAAATAAATAAATAATTCATCCAAAAGCTGCTTGCTTGACAGGGACTTGAGACAGGTTCTCAGTGTTCTCGCTAGATGCAGCGGCTTTTGGAGCTTGTGCTGCTAGCTACTGTCATTGGAAAAGAGTTGGTGAAAGTGGCCTGGCTCTCTGGTTTCTTTACATTATTAACTTTTTTTAGTTTTTACATAGGTTGTCTTGCCCAATAAAGTCCCTCCAACCTGATCAATATGAGGCCGACGGCGTTACCGATAATTGGGAGTCTAAAAAATCTGATAACCATCTATATCTGCCAATAGTTACCACTTTGAAAACAAACAAATCTTGATACAGATCCCTTAGATTTGTTTTCTAAAGAATTGTGATCAAGACACATACATGGGAGCAGGATTTAGTATTGTACTTCCATAAAGGCAGCGAACTGACAAGAGATACATTTAGTGTCTCGCATGGGTTAAGCTTCAAACACACTGGATCTGACAATCGTTTGAAAGCTCCCTCTAAAGCCACAGAACACATCATACAACACAATACAGTGATGGAGCAGCTCGCAGGCTTAGCTGTGATCTTTGTCCACAAGGGTGATGTTACGGCAAACACATCCGCTGTCTCCGAGTCGTCTTTAAACAAACATTAACTCACACTTCTTGCATTGATGAACTTGTCGTTGAGTTGTTTGAGTAACACACTTCCACAGTCAAGAGTGACTCCGGTGAGCCAGAAAGCAACACGAGGGAGGCATGCTGGGTCGCTGTGGCAGTGATACCGGGTCAACATATGGCTAAGTCATTTGTGTCTGCTCTTCTGTTTTTGCTGCGTCTCTTCCCTCTAATAGACGTAGTTAATTGCCCCATTGACGATATTGAATTTGTGAGGCGACGCTTCAGTGGCAAAGGACAACTGTAAAGTAAATGGATGGGAGATTATTGTATAGGTCATATTTGAGGCCAGTTCTATCCACACTAAATCAGGGATATATTTACTATAAGACAAAAAAGAATTCCTCATTGATAGTGTGTCAGATAGCGAGTTAAGTGAATGCCCAGGATAGCTATATGTGGCAGACTAAAAGATAAAAGAGACATTGAATGGCAGTTCGGCATGTGGTGAGTTTCCATTACAACCCCTCAGGTCTTATATATACACACATAGACGGTGCGGTGCCGTAGCTCCGTCTGAAACACGATCCTGTCGCCAATCTAAAAACTCGAGGTCCAAGCTCCGAAAACGAGAAATCCAGATGAAGTATTATTTGGCAAAAAAAAAAAGAAAAGAAAAGAAAGGGGGAGGGGTGGCTACCTTTTCATGCAACACCTCTCATAGTGCCATAAAACAGTTGGATGAGAGTTCTTGCTTTGACAAAGGGAAGATGAAGTCACAGAGCATTTAAGACTAACATCTGTCCTGCTGAAGTGACCTTGAGTAAAGCACAGTCTCTTGGGATGAGTAAAGCGTAACAATGGAGTTATTCCACAATTCAGGTTGAGTTTTACATCAACTCTCAGCATTTCACTGATTTTGTGTTTTTAAAACGGTTTGCAATCTGCCCATGCAAGCACACAGACCGGCTCATCTTTCAAAACCTCTTGACACACTCCTCTTTAAAAGTAGACTGGGGGGTTTCAGCAGACCAGAGATGTGAATGGATGATGTGAAACGTTACAAATGACGCACAGGGACATGTTGTGCCCACGATGACACCGATTTCCTTCTGGAGCATGAACCAGGGTTTGGGAACCCCTCAAAAAGCCATGTGTTTTCACCCAAAGTCTGCAGTTAAAGTAGCAGGGAATGAGCTGAGACGCCCTGTGGCTTTTACGTTGTGGTCAGATGCCCCAGACTCCTGACAGACACTACTTTCTCAAACATGGCCCATAACTAACGGATGCACAGGCCCCTCCTTTCACAATATACAGTACATAGAAGGATTAAGAAATATTCGTGCCACGAGTATGCCATGCTGACAGGGTGAAGGAGTGCAGGGAGCACACAACAGTGTAGACTGTTCTCATCCATTGTTCTATAACACACCAGCGAATGATACTGTGCCCGGGAGGCGTTTTCACGTGTTTCAGGCAGGAAGAAATTATTTGTAACATAGGTTCACCATGTTACAGCAGTTACAGGACTACTAATTGAATGTGGTACTCTCTGGCCGCACTTTGTCGGCAAAAGTTCAATCTATCAACAACTTTTAGTTTGGCCCCACACACACGGCGGTCAAGCAGGCTGTACTTCGCTGCTGTATTTGTCAGCGTTATACCTACAAAAAGTAATGCACTGCAACATAAAAGAGCACATGGGCCTGGCTCTAACCATGTGGCTTCAACAAGTCTTGGCATGAACTGAAGCTTTTTCGAAAAGTCTTGGCCAAGCAATCACATCTATATTTGTCAGGTTCATGACACAATTAGATGTGCTAACAATGCAGGTATATAATATTCTGCTCAGGCAATCCTAACTATGGTGTGAGAATAAACTCCTATTGGCCATACTATTAAAATATTGTAACTGAAGAGTCAAACATTACAGATTATTGTCACAGAACATCATGTCGGAGCTCAAAGATTTCAACAGTATTTCTGACCTCTATTCATTAAAAGATCAATTTGCATACGTGTCAAGTAATAGCAGTATGTGGTGTGCTCACTGCAATATGTCATTACATTTGAGTGCTCCTATCCCCCTTCCAGGACAAGACTGGCTCAACACCACAACCTCTTCCAAACCATGCAGGGTTTCCTCCCACACCGTCAGGAGACGTGTCGTCGTCTTTAAGGACCGGTGTCGAGCTACAAGCCTCAATAAATATTTGGTGATTTTTGTGGCCTGGAGGTTAAATGTGATATGCCACACACTACCACAGCGAGCTCAAGATCCAAAGATCATACACACTATCCAGCTTCTCAATTTCTGGGTGGGCGTCGATTCAAGTCTGTATGAAGAATGAATGCACAAGGTAATTGCTGTCATTTTCACTGTTCGTGCAGTTAGCAACCAGTCGTCGCCATGTTGAGAGCCACGTGGAGGCAATTCCTCAGTCATCGATTTCCTATGAGTTTGCAATTAGCATATTTTAGTGCACAAATATAATTGGACTAATAAACTACCACCACAAGAGTTGCATATACAAAAGGAAACATAAAAATGTTGTTAGTACTAAAACAGAACGATTGCATAAACCACTTTGATGAGCAGCTGATCATTAGCACTGCAAGTAGTCAGGTAAAACCCAGTGGCTGCTGGTGGTTAAAGACCACATGCAATGCAGAAATCAAGTTGCATTCGTTCTGCTATATTCCTTCTCTAGTGCTTTGGTGGAACAATCTTCTTGGCAATGACATACGTTTCAAGCTCCAATAGACCTTCCTTGAACTCTATTGGAAAAGTCTTTAGGTCACTTCAGCAAAGGTGAGCAGAGCATGAAAGTGCAATTCCCAAAGCAGTTAGCAGATGCTTCATCTTGGACTGTACTACAGAAATCCCCCCCCCCCCCCCCCACCACACACACACATCTGGCAGAGAAATTCTAAGATATCTGCTCATTTCCAGCTGCCCTACACCGTTCATGAAGTAGAAGATGTGCATGGCTGATCCCTCTGAATAAATATAGATCTTTGCACTTTTTGGACCTAAGGGCTTGGAACGTATATGCTCCTCCAAGTGTGATCGGATTCCAGAGTCATTTGCTGTGGCCAAGAACAATACTGTAAACCAGGGTAATGTTTAGACACTGATGTATCCATGGGCTCCCGCCTCTCTCCTTCTCCCCTGCTACTGACCCTCATGCCAGGTACATCCATCAGAAGAACGCCGCACAAAGCTTTTGTCTATATTATGCTGAATGTTTCCATGTTCTGCATTAACCATGAGACGCAGGTAGTGTAAAATTTCCAAGAAGGGCTTCCAAGATGGCAAGGAAGCACACTGAGCTGAACATTATGGTACTACTTTCCATCCAGAAGAGGCAACCACCTTCCACTATAAACACTGTCTCTCATCTAGGAAGAATGCAGCCCGTGCACCTAACAATGTAATAATATCTGACTGTGTCAAGATGTTTTTGTGGTATCTTTCCAAATGTGAATAAGTTGAAGGATTCAAATGTTAAATCCTATCCTAAAAACACACATTCATTCAGTAAATCCAATTTCTAAATACGACACCCACACAGCGATGATGTCTGCAGAACACATTTGAAGAGTTAATATCCAACATGATGTCTTAGTGTGATGTATGACATGTCTGATATACGGCTGTGTCAGCACCTCACAGACTGATTGATGAAAAAAAAATTGAACTTCCAAGGATGATAAGTGTATGCTGGCATGAATGAGGGTAACAGCCGAATGCTACCAAACCACCAAGCGTGATCTGAGGCAGCAATGATGCCAGGCACTGGTGTGAGGCAAACCTATCCATTTCAATGGCATGTGAAATGGGCCACAAACACACACAGTCCGGGGAAATTCATAAATGTAGCTTGCAATAGTAAATGCGAACCAGATTGAGCCCTAACGGCACATTTTTAACTGCTTTGACTTTACTGGAAAATTCAACCAAAGTGCAGAGAAATAATTTAAACGTATTGAAACCAGTGGCGACAGGAGTTGCTTTTAAGTAGCCCTGTGTAACTTTATGATCTCGTTTGTACTAACCACTACCTTTGTAACAATTTTCAACAAATCATGAACTCTGTCCCATGTTTATACAAATGATCAGTTATGCAAGATTGATATCCGAGTGATATCCGGCCAATCCAAAGACGGGGATTGTAACCAATTAAATGTAGTTACACAATGGTGACTTAGTGTCAAAAAGAAACACCACTGGCGAGCGGGCAGAAGAGCAGTGACCTGCCCCTGGTTTTTCCCTCTGCCAACCCCACACATACACACTCCCCTGCTTTCCCTGTTCTGGTTGCCAGATTGTCTTTGTTCTACCCCGTGTGTTCATAGCCTTCTGGCATTATTCTCTCATGTTAGTTGCTATGGTTTGTGACTTTGCCTTTTTGGATTTTTGCCTGCTCCCTGTTGGATTTGTTTGCCTTTACGGATTGACTTCCTGTGTATGATTGCTTGGTGCCTAGTAAAAGAAATTGCCTTCTACCTCACCTGGTCTCCTGTGTCTATCTCTGCTCTTGAGTCTCTGCTCTGCCCCAGAATCGTTACACTGCGGGGGGAAAGAGTTCCACAGAGCTCCATGTCTAGATCAGCAAGTACAAAAACACCAACGTTTGGTCGTGGCCCTCGGTGTCTGATACTGACACACAACTTTAGAGCCTGTATGAGACAAAACAAAGGTACTTATTTTAACCCAAACCACAATCTTTAACTAAACCTAACCAAGTAGTTTAGTTGACTAAACCTAATTGATGCCAAGGGATCTGACCATGATTTAGTGTGTGACGAGCTGGGAATGAGAGAGGGTCGTCTAGAAACGTGAAACTCAGCTAATACAAAATATACATCTTTCATTTTGTTATCGTTCTCTGGTGTTGTGCAAGGAGTTGCGAGGGGTGCAGTTGGTCCTGGGCCAGGCCTAACAGTTTGTGAACAGTATAAAATACGCACAGCAATGCAAAAAAAGGATGGGTTATGGTTCGCATTATTGTGCCTTGGGATAGGGAAACAAAAGTCACATCTACCTTAATTCATCAAAACTTTAATGCACCACCCGACATGCAAGCTATATGACCAAATAAAACATATCCACAATGTTAGGTGACTAACGGTTGCATGCTAGGTCTCAACTTAGCCAGGTGTGTACAACAACACAGTATTTTTACTTGAGTAAAATATTCTAGTACTTTCCGTCCTTGCTGATGGGACTATCCATGGCGTCAAAGTGTTGACACACAGTAGTACATACATGTATGCATGTTTCACAACAGGGTTTAACTTTAACTCCATAATCACTCAGCATTGACAGAAGCTGGGGTTTAAGCCAGGTCTCATTGTGGCATGGTAAAGCTGCCTGTCAAAGACATTGCTGAGAAGAACCCAGGGGTGTGCTTACCAAGTCGTCATAAAACAGCCTGAGCCAGGCTAGTAAAGAGCACAGGTTGGAAGACTACAGTAGGTGGGTGGAAATCAGAACCCGGTCCGGGAAAGGTTCAGGAATGTGCTGAGCGACATTTCTCCGCTCCGGGGAAACAGAACCCTGACAGAGATCTGTTCATTAAGCCAGGCAGTTAGGCGGCTGTCTTTTGCGTTCCACAGAACGTTAACAGAAATGATTAGCGTTCTTTAGGACTTGCACCATAGCCTCATAGTTTGCCATTTGGACAATGATAATGATGAAATGTAGAGTTTAATGTTTTCACAAGTCATAAATGTAATGTGATTTCTGGTGAGACAACTTACTTATTCGGTTTCTGGCCTCATTTAGTTTCTCCCCAAATCTTCTGGCCTCAGCTGACCTGTTCAAAAGAATGCAGGTGTTAATTGCCAATGGTAGCAAAAAAGTAATTTGATGAATTCAATGTGGTAAAGAAACTATAAGCATACCCAATGCAAAACGATTTATTTTCAATTTGCAGGCAATAAAGAATTCAGGAGCATTGGTAATAAAGTATTACACATAACATATATTATATCTCTTTTGGCATGTCACTCAAAACACTTAAAACAGCCGCTCACTAGATTGAGGTCGTCAAAGGTTTGTCTCTGATTCTAGACAAAAGCAACACATTTTAAAATGCACCTCTGCAGGTACCATGTGCCAAAGTATGCTGTGTTGACACATGTACAGTATGTGGCGTTGACGCATGTACAGTATGTTGCGTTGAATCATGTACAGTATGTTGCGTTGAATCATGTACAGCATGTTGCGGTGAATCATGTACAGTATGTTGTGATGAATCATGTACAGTATGTTGTGATGAATCATGTACAGTATGTTGTGTTGACGCATATACAGTATGTTGTGACGCATCATGTACAGTATGTTGTGACGAATCATGTACAGTATGTTGTGACGAATCATGTACAGTATGTTGTGACGAATCATGTACAGTATGCATATAAAAATAGCATTGAATGAGCTAAAAATAAAGTATTACTGCTCACATTACTCATAATTTCGGGCAACATAAGGAAGGGAATGTATCAAAACTTTCGAACAACTTGTTATTGGTCACTAACCTCTGTTTGAGTAGCTCCTTGTTGTCCTCAATAGTCAGATGGTCCTCGTGGTCCCTTATGAAGGTCTCAAAGGCCTCTTGCTTTCCCATAGACAGCTGTGGGCCTGAGAGAAAAAGATCCAGCACAAAGACATAAGCTGTATTCTGACAATCAGCAGCTGCTGTTTTTATCACCAGGTCCATCCTAAAAATCTAAACCTACCATACATAGTACCATCCTAACAAGACTGCATACTTGTCGTGCTACTGAAATAAACGTACTAACTAGGGGAAGTTGTGTCAGGTCCCGCTGTGTAGATTTGAACAGTCAGACCTGAGCTGTATGCTCAGTTCCCACATCCACAGGTACTCAACTCCAGTCTGGCAGCCAGATGCGAGCTAGAGCCCCACTGATGCAGTTGACCTCCCACCTATCACTAATCACACAGCTGAAGGCCTATTAGCCAGTCAGTCACTGTTTAAAGAGAATATCAACACAAATATAAACAGCATACTCTGAGCATGTCAGCATTACAAGGCAGATGGCCCCCACATAACTTTGGCCACTTGCCACATGTAAGGAAACTACATAATTTTGGACGTAACATCCTGCTGATTGTTTATTTTTTTTATAGGCTTGTAATATTATGTAATGAGCATTTTTCTTGAAGTGCCATACATCTGCTGGCAGGTGATTATTAAGAGCTGCTACATGTAGCGTAGCATAATCAGTCTGTGTTGTCGTTTGTCACTTTTCACATTCTCGAAAACATGAAGTTGCTTTTGTGGTGATACACAAAGTGAATGACTCCAAGAAGTTTGGTTGTTCATTCTAGATCAATCTATCAAAGCTCTCTCTCTTTCAACCCAACAAATCTAATTTACAGTAACATGGACTGTGTTTCCAACAAACCAACATTTTTCCCTGTATTTTGTATGGCCTAAAATTATAATAGAAAACATATAAACCAGCATTATTTAGCAAGATTACAGTGGAAAACCCAAAGCTTCACAATGATTTCCAAATTCCCCCCCTTGTTAAATTGTGTGGATCTTTGTGACGAAGCTCTAACCAAAGAACGTACACAGGACAGTAACTCATGCGAGATTAATTGCAGGACAGTCAGGAATTTTTGTTTCTTTATTTTTGGAAAGTCCTGATTGAAAGCAGCAGGCATCTCACGGTCATACAGTGTGCTCAAAGAGCCAAGCTCAACAAATCGGTTTAAGGGGTTTCTTGAGGGAAATGCACTCCAGTCGACTCTTGTAAAAAAAAAAAAAAAAAAAGCAACATTCCAGGGATATCTAAGAGTGATATGACATCATATTATGTTGTACTAACATTATCTGTGGGGTAATGAGATCGCACAGACCAAGGGCCAACTTTCCCGATTCCTCTTTTCCGTGCTTTGAGTGCAGGGAGGAATGTGTTGTTGTGACTATTGTTGCTGTTTCAACAATTTATTTTAAATGAAATACCAGATGAATGACTGCACTGTTCCATCAGCTTATAAGAAAAACATCTGACAGCAATTGTTATGCATTTGTAGATAGTAGTAAACTTGACAGTAAAGTAACAATAGATCTGGTACATTGCATGTTCCTACTGTGGCCTCCTGAGCGGGGACAGCAGTGTTTGACTTGTTGAGGTGTCCCATTGTCTTAGGCTTCTGCTCAGATCACAGAAACGTGTGGCGGGCCTGGTAAAACCATCAGCGTCTCATTACATGCTCGAAGGATTTACAGTAAGATCGAAATCTTCCTATAAGTCTCAGGTCTCCTTCCTGAGCTTAAATACAAGTCCACACCAACCTGAATTACAACAGGAACACCTTGTCCATCCAATAGAGAACTTTTTACACTACAAGAGGAGAAGAAGAAGACACTGTGCATCTGTGCCTGTGGAAGAAGTCAATAAACTAACCTCAGGAAAACTCACAGAGGCATCTCGGAGTCGTCCACTTTGCAATTTATGGTGCACAGTCGAAATCCTGTTCTATGAGGAACTCACAAGACTAGAATTACCCCCTCATGCTTGTATGCCTCCGCCAATCAGTCAACTTGCAGTTTACATCCATGTCTGTCCAAAATGTCATCCCTTCATAATTTTATCCTATTAGACATTTGTCTGAAGTTGTCATAATTAGCATGTGAATCCTTGAGTTATGGCCAAAATGGAATGTTTTTTGTGAGGTCACAGAGACATTTCAACTTTGAACCTCAAATTCTAACCAGTTCATCCAAGTGGATGTTTGAACCAAATTCGAAGAAATTCGCTGAAGGTGTTCTTGAGATATCGCGAGCATGGGACGGATGGGAGGTCAAAGTGACCTTTGACCACTACAAATCCAATCAGTTCATCCCTGAGTCACAGTAGTTTTGCCAAACAAGACATACGGGCGTACACAGGGACAGATGGATGGATGGACCGACGGACAACCCATAAACATAATACCTCCGACCACAGCTGTCACCGGCGCGTTGGCATAAAAAGCTCCCTAATGTTCATGCTTTATTCTATGCTGGCAAAGCTGAGAGTCCAGTACAGAAGGACATATTATGGAAAAGAGTACAGTCGATTAAACGCCATTCAATCAGCATGAATGGTTTCCATGGAAAGGTCATCATCATTACATTCACAGTTAATCTTCAGGGGACAGTAATTGCAACGTAACCATAGAGGCTGTTGGCTATGGCGCCAGAGCCCTCAGATTAAACCTCAACACACATGCACAACATCGAGCACAAGGAAAGGAGACGTGTAGGGCATTTGTTTTGAATTAGGACAGTATAAAGAACAATGATCTAATGCGCGCATATAGTTTGGTTAGGAATCTCTAAGTGGGTCATAGAATATAGGCTCTCCAGATGTGAAGCACGTGATAAATAACACGGTGTACTGTTTAAAACAACTGGATCAATTGTGTGTTTCTAATATTTTGTACTTTCTGTGATAGTAAGGGGAATTCACTATGTAACAATGTAACGGCCTCTCAATCGTGGACGCTGTAGCATTACCTGGTGCTTTAAGAAATCCCTGAAACTACATCGACGAAGTCAGAAGTACTAAAGTGTGAGCGGTGTCCTCTCTGATGCTCCTGGATCCACTCAGCGTGTTCTCAAAGCTTCTACTTCCCAATGTGCAGAGTCCTTTCTGGACCACATCAAGCCCTCCCTACTGGGTAATGGCTGATGGAGTTGGGAGTGTGTCCCGCTCGCAGCGTTGCCTGCACACAGAGCGGAAAGAGACGGACATTTCTCATTAAGTGTGAGAAAAGAGGCGCCGAGTGCTAAATATATTGTAGCGGACTCTCCTCCATCCATCCATTCATTCTCTTCAGCTTATCTGGGGCCGGGTCGTGGGGGCAGCGGGTATTCCAGACGTCCCTCTCCCCAGCAAACTCTAAGGACATAATTCACTATAGTCTGTGATTCAACACAAGCAGTTATGTTGTGCTCGTCTGTGTTGTTTTCTCTTCAATGACACAGTGACAGTTGGGCAAGTGTCAGCACTGCCCATGCTGTTAGCGGTTCATAAATGAAAGTGCGACAATGAATGCAAAGTCAAAATGAGGCTAAGTTGGTAGTGACAGAATTGCTTGAGAGCAGCACTACCTGGGTCTGTGGATCATGACAAGGACTTAGCAGTTACCTATATCAAGATCATCAAAAGCAGGGGTATTCAATTAATATTCAACGAGGTCAGTTGTATTAACGTGTGTATGTAGTCAAAAACTGACATTTAAAATATAGAAAGTTCAATTGAATAATATCTCAACAATATTCATTGTCAGTTTTCAAATTCAACTGGATGAATTATAAATAATAAATACTCTAATAACAAATAAATTATCTCTTATTTCAAGTAAAATAAGGACTGGATTAAAAAAATAAAATGCATAACAGAATTATTTTTAAAAATGTGCATCTTAAAATAAAGTACTTCATTTTCGAAAAATTAACTGAACTGATTTGTCCTGCAGCTTTAAATTCAGTTCATTCAGGTGTGAAGTGATGTCACTCAAAAAAGCCACGATATTATATTCTCATCTTCACGCAGCTCCTCCGCGAATCGCCACCTTAACGTGGTGGAGGACTTTGAGTGGCTCAGTGATCCTGGGAGCTATGTTGTCCGGGGCATTAGCCCCTGGTAGGGTCTCCCAAGGCAAACAGGTCTCGGGGGAGAGCCCAGACTAAGAGCTGTTCAAAACGACCCTAATGATAAGCAGCCCACGGACTTTAGCCACCATGCCTGGACCAGGGAAACCGGGGCACCCTCCCGGAGCCAGACCCAGGAGGGGAGCTAGTCGGCGAGCGTCTGGTGGCCGGGCCTTCGCCCATGGGGCCCGGTCGGGCTCAGCCCGAATAAACAGCATGGAGCAGCCACCCTGTGGACCCACCACTGCAGGGACAAGTATCGGGGTTGGGTGCAATGCAGAGCGGACGGCGGGTCAGGCGGGAGGCCTGGGCGAGCCGATCGCCGGCGCATAGACTAGCTCTAGGGACGTGGAACGTCACCTCGCTAGCGGGGAAAGAGCCAGAGCTGGTGCAGGAGGTGGAGCGATAACAGCTAGATATAGTTGGACTCACCTCCACACACAGCGCTGGCTCTGGAACCAAGCTCCTGGAGAGGGGTTGGACTTTGTCCTTTTCCGGAGTTGCCCAGGGTGAGAGGCGCCGGGCGGGAGTGGGGATACTCACGAGCCCCCGGCTGAGCGCCGCTGTGTTGGAGTTCTCCTCGGAGAACGAGAGGGTCGCCTCCATGCGCCTACGGGTTGCGGGGAGCAAGGCTCTGACTGTGGTTTGTGCTTATGCACCAAACAGCAGTTCAGAGTATCCAGCCTTCTTGGAGTCGGTGGGAGGGGTCCTGGAAAGGGCGCCGCCTGCCGACTCCATAGTTCTCCTGGGGGACTTCAACGCTCACGTGGGCAATGACGGAGAAACCTGGCGGGGGGTGATTGGGAGGAACGGCTTGCCCGATCTGAACCCGAATGGCGTCTCGTTATTGGACTTCTGTGCTTGCCACGGTTTGGCCACAACGAACACCATGTTCGAACATAAGGTGGCTCATAAGTGTACCTGGTACCAGAACACCTTAGGCCGGAGATCAATGATCGACTTTGTAATCGTATCATTTGATTTGCGGCCGTATGTCTTGGACACTCCAGGTGAAGAGAGGAGCAGAGCTGTCAACTGATCACCACCAGGTGGTGAGTTGGATCAGATGGCAGGGGAACCGGTTGGAAAGACCTGGCAAGCCCAAACGTGTAGTGAGGGTGAACTGGGAACGTCTGGCGGAGGACCCTGTCCGGGAGGTCTTTAACTCCCACCTCCGGAAGAACTTCTCACACATCCCGAGGGAGGTTGGGGACATGGAATCCGAATGGACCATGTTCAAAGCCTCTATTGTGGACGCGGCCGCTAGGAGCTGTGGCTGGAAGGTCATCGGTGCCTGTCGTGGTGGCAACCCGAGAACCCGGTGGTGGACACCGGAGGTGAAGGAAGCCGTCAAGCTGAAGGAGACCTTCAAGGCCTGGTTGGCACAGGGGTCTCCCGAAGCAGCTGACAGGTACCGGCAGGCCAGAAGGGCTGCAGCTGCGGTGGTCGCGAATGCTAAAACTCGGGCATGGGAGGAGTTCGGGGAGGCCATGGAGAAGGACTTTCAGTTGGCCTCAAGGAGGTTCTGGCAAACCATCCGACGGCTCAGGAAGGGAAAGCAGGGCTTACCCCAGGCTGTTCTCAGCAGGGGGGGGAACTGCTGACCCGGACAGGGGACATCGTCGGGCGGTGGAAAGAGCACTTTGAGGAACTCCTAAACCCGACCAACATGTCCTCTGCAGAGGAGGCAGCGCCTGAAGATCTAGGGGGAGGCTCACCCATATCCCTGGCAGAGGCCGCTGAGGTAGTCAAAAAGCTCCTTGGTGGCAAGGCGCCGGGGGTGGATGAGATCCGCCCTGAGATGCTGAAAGCGCTGGCCATAGTTGGGCTGTCCTGGCTGACATGCCTCTTCAGTGTCGCATGGGGGTCGGGATCAGTGCCCATGGACTGGCAGACCGGGGTGGTGGTTCCCATTTTCAAAAAGGGGGACCGGAGAGTGTGCTCGAATTACCGGGGTATCACACTACTCGGCCTCCCGGGGAAGGCTTATGCCAGGGTGCTGGAAAGGAGGCTCCGACCGTTTGTCAAACCTCAGATTCAAGAGGAGCAATGCGGATTCCATCTCGGCCGTGGAACAGTGGACCAGCTCTTTACCCTCGCAAGACTACTGGAGGGGTTCTGGGAGTTTGCCCAACCAGTCTACATGTGCTTTGTGGACTTGGAGAAGGCTTTCGACCGGGTCCCTCGGGGGTTCTTGTGGGGGGTGCTGCGGGAGTATGGGGTGCCGGACCCATTACAACGGGCAATCCGGTCTCTGTACGACTGCAGTAGGAGCTGTGTCCGCATTCTCGGCAATAAGTCAGACACGTTCCCGGTGGGTGTTGGCCTCCGCCAGGGCTGCCCATTCACTGGGGCGGTTTGCAGCCGAGTGTGAAGCGGCGGGGATGAGAGTTAGCATCGCCAAATCTGAGGCCATGGTGCTCTGCCGGAAACCGGTGGATTGCTCCCTCCAGGAGGGGACTCCAGGAGTGCCTACCTCAAGCGAAGGAGTTCAAGTATCTCGGGGTCTTGTCACGAGTGAGGGTAAGATGGAGCGGGAGATCGACAGACAGATCGGTGCGGCTGCAGCAGTAAAGCAGGTGCTGCACCGGACCGTCTTGGTGAAGAGGGAGCTGAGCCGGAAGGCAAAGCTCTCAATTTACCACTCGGTCTACGTTCCTACCCTCACCTATGGTCACGAACTCTGGGTTGTGACCGAAAGGACAAGGTCGCGGCTACAAGTGGCCGAAATGAGCTTCCTCCGTAGGGTGGCCGGGCTCAGAAATAGAGATAGGGTAAGGAGCTCCGTCATCAGGAGGGAGCTTGGAGTTGAGCCGCTACTCCTTCGCGTCGAAAGGAGTCAGCTGAGGTGGTCCGGGCATCTAATTAGGATGCCTCCTGGATGCCTCCCACTGGAGGTTTTCCAGGCACGTCCAACTGGGAAGAGACCCCGGGGAAGACCCAGAACACGCTGGAGGGATTACATCTCCCAGCTGGCCTGGGAACGCCTCGGGATCCCCCAGAATGAGCTGGAACATGTTGCCGGTGAGAGGGAAGTCTGGGTCAGCCTGCTTGGCCTGTTGCCACCGCGACCCGACCCCGGATAAGCGGAGGAAAATGGATGGATGGATGGATCTTCACGCAGCATCACGTGAGATGATTTACAGCACATGTAATTGGTCGGTGTGTTTCCTGCACCGCTGAACAAGTGAAAAGCTGCGCCGGTTTAAATAGAGGTGCTCCGTCAAAATTCAATAATTCTTAATTATCTTTCGGTTTTAGGTCACGGTCCGGATACAACAGCATCTGGGTCCGGATCCAGACCGCGGTCCGCCTATTAGTGACCCCTGATCGAAAGGCATGTTTTCCTCAAGGTCAGAGGTTTTTTTTATCCGCAGGCTCTGACATGTAACAACCTATCACTCAACATAAGAGGAACCAGCCATGAAAATGTATTTTGAGGGCGGTATTGTTGAGTTTTTGGGGGTCCTGGGTAAAATTAACTTACAACATTTATTTCGGAAAATCCAGAATTATGATGAGAGCCAGGATGATTCTTCACCATGTCTTGTGTTTGTGACAGAAATGAGCTGTGTCTCTTTCATTTGATCATGAAACAGCTGGATTCTTTACATGTGATATTTTAATGCTTGGATCCAGTATGACTCTTGACTGACTGACTGGTATTTATATTTCTGTTCATTATAGCCACCAGATGCTCATCGTAACAATCCGAACACTAAATCTGCAGTTAATATGAAGTGCACTTTACTTTCAAGATCACATACTACTCTACAATTATAGATGGATTACTGATACCTTCGCCCACAAGATGTCACTCAAAGCAACACGTACCAACCAGCAAGAGACTCAAAATGGCCACAAAGACACACAAAACAACTACAAAGAGACACAAAACGACTAAGAAAAAAGGGGCAAAATCCCCCAGACCAACAACAACTACAAAACGTTCAAAACAATTACAAAGTGAGATAAAAGAACAACAAGAATAGGCTATATAACCACCTCTCTCTCTGTGCCTTGCTTCTATGTAGGAGGGGTGGTGAGGCACTTTGCATGTCTGTGCCCAGGGGCCCATCGTCTCGTAATCCGCCCATGACTACAATATATAAAAGCACACACAGACAGCATTAGAAAACTGTGTGGTGGTAAAGAAGCAGATGCCACACAGAACCCATGGAGGTCATCACGTCCCATGAAACCAGAGGGAGAAAAAGGAAGACTTATGTGGGCAGGTGAAAACAAATCCTGGCGAGATGACCCAAATGATCATGCTTGCTCCGTATTAGATAGCATACCATTCTGAGCGACTAATACACACATGGCACCTCATTTATCAGTGGTTTTCATAAACCCCAGCTTCATAGCCATCCGTCACAGTGCTCCTCATTGTCCCTTCGATGAATGACTGATTCGCTTACTAAGTCTGACTGGACCGAGTTGAAGCACATGTTTGTTTTCTAATGGGCTCTTCTTTCAGAGACCCTGTTTGCAATTACCTCTGTGCTGGCCTTATTACCGCACCAGGCAGCATTACACTAAAATGTCCACAAAAAAAAAGGACGAGGGGAGCTGTGGTTAGCACAGAACGGAGCACAGCCTCAGCGTGATGAGTTGCTGGCTCCTACGCCCGTGCCCGGTGGCTATGACCGAGCTCAGGTTCATCATCACACTTAAGGCTCCACCGAAATTAAACAGGAAAAGCCAACGCTGGCCGAGGAGCAGATTTCAATGCTTGATTGGCTTGACTTTCGGCAACGTCCGCAATCCGTTCAAACCAGTTTGTGTCTAAAAAAGGTTTCGAGCAGACTGACAATACAAGATTCAAAACATCTTCACAGCCAGTGCCTCAGTCTCAGAGCAAAAGGAACATTTCATGCTGTCCTGCTGTCTGAAGTGTGTGCTACTTTACTCTGCCCTCTCGGAGTCTTTGTACACTTTCAACCCTCTGAAGGCACACGCTGTGGCAAAGCTACATGGAGATAACCGTAATCAACTGCAACACTGTGATGACACTCAATTCAAGACCACATGTAGGAGTAATCTGCCTGTCACTGAGACAAACCTGCTTCTGTTTAATTCGATCACATTTGCGAGAGTTACAGGTTTAATATACTGTGCTGTCTAATGCTGCTCTGCAGACGCGATCACACTGTGCCACTTTAATGACTTCTGAAGGCAAACTCCTAAATGCATACAATCCTACTGATGACATTGTTTAGATAAAAGACAACTTAGGGAGACTCTTCACTTCACACAGTAAACTCCAGAAATCAGGGGCACACAGAAAATCAGCATGACCACACAGAGCTGCCCACATTCCTATCAAGAGAGATCACCTGTCACCTCCCAGCGCCTAATTCATAACAAAGTCCTCGCTTCTTCCAGGTCAGAAAGACTGACTGTCATTAAAAAAAGCCTGTCTCCTACAAGAATCCTATTTTGTTATTATGGTCGCAGTTTTAAACATGTGGCTCAAAAATGCAACAAAACTACTTGATTAAGTTTAGTTAACGGCTTAAAATAAGTATGTTTGTTATAGTATTTAAGTCATAGGCGTATATTAAAACATCTTTACAATTCTCAATGTTTCTAAATTTTGCCTTGTAAAGAAGAGCAAAAAAAAGCTTCTTAAAGTACCTCTTCTCATGTACTGTATAGCTCGTCCCCCATAGTCGGCTGAGATAGTGACCGTGCTTCCTTCCCTCGACAGTGGCGCTGCTGTCAGCCTCGAGGAACTCTGGGAAGCCAGGCTCTCGCCATTGGGGATGTTAGCAAGCTGAGCAGCAGCATCCAGGGCCTTTTTTTTCTCCTTCTTCAGCATCTTAACTAAGATACCTTTAGGCACCAAGTTAAGGATTCTACTTCTACAAAGTCCTGGATGGAAAAAAAAGAATCTTTCACTGAGTAGCACCTCTTTCAACTGATGTAAAAATAAACATGGAGACCAATTTCAGGATATGAGGATGGCAGTTGATTGACTGAATCGACAATATACAGTAAACCCTGGAGCATAAATTGTGATTTCCTGAAGGCTGTGAGCTTTTAATGATGGCGGAGGGCTGACATGCGCCCAGCGTCTGACCCATAGTGTAATTCAAGGTCTTGCTCGCCCCCTGGTGGCTGGCTGCAGTATAGGACATATCAGTGTCAGCACACACGCAGATGACGTTTCTAAAACATGAATCACACAGAGCAGGTGTCAATTTGATCATAAATGTATGGATGGAGTTATTGTGGTTAGTTGTGTCTTTCCAACTACCACAATACTAACGTAGCAAACAAGCTGTGGCCGTGCTCACTACTGCGCAGATTCTGGCTCCAAATTATGTCGCCAGCGCAACATGGCAGCGCTCGTATCCGGGATATTTTGGCTTCACTTTTGCACAGCGAGAGGAAGTGGAGACGTGTCGTCCATCTACGGTCTGACCTTACAGCCTCGGGAAGATGTCATGGTCTGGGATGAATCAACGAAGAGGAGAGGAGCCAGAGAGGCAGCAGATACTCTACCAAGATTCCACTCAATCCTCTCCTACTGATGAGGTTGCACGCGTGTTTGTCTGCTTGGATCCCAGTGTAGCTGTGTCCGCCTGGGTGCGCAGAGAGTAATTGAGTGGTTAAATGAGGAGGCTGAAAAAGGCAAGAATCGCCGCATAGATCCTGTTCACATTTTCATTGCCATGAGACGTTTCACTTCTCTGTGTGCACCATGCGTTAGGACCATTTACTGTAATCGTTTCCTCTGTTCCATCTACTGTCCTTTGCTTCCAACTCAACAGCGCTATTTTGGATTTGATCAACTGCCTCCTGCTCAGGCTCACTGTCTTTTTTTTAATAATGCATACAGCAGAGCACAGATTCATCAGCACTTTCAAATCTGATTATCAAATTGACGCCTGCTTCACGACATATAGCGCTGCTTTTACTGTATAACAGGAATCCACTATCGGTGAGAAAGAAGAAGACGGTGCCAGCAGAGGCAATTTTTTTTTTTGCAATCAGAAGCGCTGATGGAGGGAAAGTGAACTAGAATTGCATTGGGAAAAAAAACATGATTAAGCCAATTTTACAGAACGTTGCCAAGATTGCTTTTAAAATGTCAACAGAAAGCAAGAAATCAAAGCTCGTCACCGGCTAGCAGGTAAAAAGCTTAGTTTGACTTAAACTAGAACTCCTTTACATTACCTGCATGAATAAAACATTACAGTCTTATAAAATATGCATTCAGCTCCCTGTGTGCCTGTTTTTCCACTATAAATGGAAGTGTGCTTGATGGCCTAATCACAACCCATAATTTAGAGACAACACATTAGTCCGTTCTTCAAGCACGGGCCTATCATGAGATTAGTGGACATCTACTTGTGGTCAGGCCGAAACCGTGGTGGTCAGCAGATACTTGGGGAAGTTCAAAGAAAAAAACAGAAAGAGTCAGAATGTCATTATTTTTGATGATGAATAGACGTAGTTTTGAAGGGGCTGGAGACGTTAATTCATACTCCTGTCAGCCAATACAAAGGGGATGTCAGGGGGAACAATAACACAAATGAACCAAGTCTCCAATTGCAGTTTCCAATGAAATGACCCATGCAGTCTTCTCAAAACTGCCAAGATCTAAACCCCGACACCATTCCAAATGACCTACAGAGGCCAAGTTTTACAGAGAAATATGACTGTTTCTGTGCCTATGTCATTGTTTCATACAAGTCATTACTTCAGACTGCTGTTCACCAGGTTTTCCCATTATTTAGATCTCTGGCATCTGATATCTTCTATGCTGAACACCACCAGGGACTTCTAGTATGGGATGAACATTTCTTTTAGGGGTTGTACATTGGACCTGTGAGCGGCTTTACATGCCACGCACTCGAAATGTGGTCAAACTCAGCTCACGGTGTGCATTCCATCTCTCCTTCTCATCTTCCCTGTCACTCTCTATTATGCCGTCTAATAAAGCAGATATCACAGGAAATAGAGAAAATGCCTTCAAAATTACCGCAGCTGGAAAAAAGGTGCCGTGCCAATCTCGCGTGGTGCCACAAATTATTAAGTATGATAAATCTTTTAAGTAGCTAGATTACGATTACAGTATTGGAGGAAGGTTTGTGCAGTATGGGGGACTCAAAAACAAAAAGAATTGGAACCAATTGAATTTAGATAAAGGAACATTTCACGTCACAAAATTATATTTTCTCTGCACTTTTTAAAGATCCACAGTACACTTTAAAGCTTTAAATAATCATTGCATCCAATTCTCAAACTATGACGTTCTAGGTTCACCTCTGGCGTTTATTTTCAAAATAAACTTCCCAAGTAGGTTAACTTCATTTTTAGAAACAAAACTACTTTGTTAGGTTTAAGGAGCAAAATTACTTGATTGGGTTTAAGAAAAGGGTGTGGTTTGGGATAAAATACTTGTTACGTACCAAGTTGAAAAAAGTCACGGTTGACATTTGATTTTACACGGGATACAAACAGTGGTCTCCTGGGTAAAAGTCCTGTGTTTGTTTGACCTGTCCAACCTCTCCTCTCGCCCACCCTACGCCAACTTCGTTTTCTTCTCTTTATACTAAGTCAGTTGCTCTGATTGTCTAATAATGACGTGGATGGGTTTACATTGGAAGTTAGTTGTGTGGCGTTACGCGTGAGCAACGGTACTTGAGCAGTTGAGAGTGAAAACTGGCTGGCTAAGGAGCGTTCAAAACCCTTGGTCCATAAAATAATACTCAGATATATGTGACATATCTTATAGTCCTCAACTCTAGCACTCTAGCTCACCTGGTGAGCATCAGTATGGTGATTACGAAATGTAACTAGAATACAGAACGCATTGACATCTGAACTGAATGAAAACTGAGAGATGAGTGGTCGATGAAGCTCAAATAAACTGCTTTTGTAAATCTTTCAAACGTGTATGTTTTATATTGCGTCCAAGACAAATCACCATGATTGCTGGAATATAAAACAGATCAGAGTTTGCGTATCAGTTACTTATACAATGTGCAGTACACAGAGATTAACAAAAGAGCCCACTAGACTGAAGCCAGTTGTCCAAACGACACCAAAGACTCGCCAATGCTGATGTAAACATCTGCGTCAACAGAGCACTGAGTGGTGAGTAGGTTTACAACTAAAGCAGTATCCTGTTCTACTGAGCCCTACCCTGCTTCAAACAATTCAAATAAAAGCTTGTGTAGCTATAATCAGTTTAATCCAAGACCGGGCAAACATTTCCAATCTGCAAAAGGACTGATTGAGGTCACTTCAATCAATCAGCCCTCATTTGCATATATGCTAAAACAGCACGCAGCTAGCAGCAAACCTAAACTCTTGGCTGCATTTCTGTTTGACAACTTTAAATTCTGTTCTTTTTGGGTACAGTGTTTGGGATGAGCTACACGGCTGACTCACAAAGACACAATCAAACGACAGTAAGTAATGATGATTACATATACACAGTAAGCATTAAAGAACAATTTAAAGCAATGTTCTTATCCCTGCTATCTCTTTTGTCTCCCCAGAATTGTTTTCCACCAATAACGCAGAAAAAGTCAAACTGCTGGTGGCACTGAATGTAAAGTCGGGGGATCGCCAAAGTCCTTTGGATGCATTGTCTGGGGACAAATGTCTGTGCCAATCCTTCAGGCAGAAGTCCACATATTTCACTGGCTGACCAAAAGTCCCTAGAGCCATGCTACTTGTGTGGCTAAAAATAAGGAGCCAAACATCTCCAGCCCAGTTTATAAACTACTGCAGTTTTGATTTAGTATTAGCCAAATCTTTATTGAATACATGTGAGCCAAGAGAAAATCAAAACGGAATAATCTGATAATTGGGAGTATTACCATTCATCTTTTACTTGAAAATGTTGTCAGTGCCAGAAGACAATATTTAGACCAGTAGACTCAAGAGACCAAGAGTTCAGAGTTTGCTTCTAAATATCAACCTTTTTAAAGAATGTTCCTAGCAAGCTAATGACATTATTTTGACAACATGCATGCCTATTAGTTGCCCTGCAGGTTCTATTTAAATAAAGATATCTAGTGAATGGGATACCGTTGGGGTGAGAGACTCTTAAATGAGCAGTGTGTAGGATTAAGTGGCAGCTAGTGGGTGAGGTTGCAGATTGCAACCAACTCAACACTCCTCCGCTCCCCAGTCCCTTTCCAAGCGTGTTGGAGAACGTTGGTGGCCTTCAGGTAACCTAAAACCCTAATAGGCCCCCTCTAGAGCCAGTGTTTGGCTTGTCCGTTCTTGGCTGTTGTAGAAACATGGCTGTGCAACATGGCGGACTTTCTGTAGATGACCCACTCCCTATTTTTTCAGGGGATTATACACTGTCATACACACTGGTCCTTTAAATGGTTAGTCAATCTTTGCTCTTTTCTCGGGTTTTCAAATGGAAAAGATCCCTCTGCCATTAACAAAAAGCAGTGACATAGGTTACCGCAGTAACCTAATCAGTAAGGTTATTAATAATGTGAACGCTAGCAGTAGCTGAGTCAACGTTTGTTGTGCTAAGTTTAATAACTGAACGGGTTAGTACAGTATTTATACTCCTGTGTTCTGGAAGTCTGATGGCTTTGAAGAGAGCATAAATAATGGCTTCGGCGCTCATCAGAAAGGGCTGTCTGATGGGAAAGTGTCTTCGGACGGGAATATATTTAGAATATTTTCACCACTTTAGCTTTGCCTTCAAACAACCCTTTCTGACAGGGAACTGAAGCAGTTACATCACTGTAATATAAAAGTCACAGGTCTCCTTTGACAAAACATTTACCTCACATAACACGGGAGTTCCCGGTCTACCGCTGGATCGATGGGTTAGTTAGTTTGTGTTACTGTGAGACTTTCAGATCTGAGCTAACGTGGTGTCCACAGCAGTACATTGCTTAACTTCCCCGCCAGTACTCCTGTCGGCTTCTCCAAACTGGGAGCGTACCGACTGCCCTCTGAGTTACTGCAGGTAATACACCGACTATAAGGATGTATTTAGATTGTACATGCAGCCACGTCATCATGCAGAAACCTACGTCAGGTGACATGGAAAAAAAGGTTTTTAGAAGAGCTTGGAAAAAAGCATTAGGACATTAAAACATAAGTACTTCAAAAAAAAGTTCAATGTTCTGCTTTGAATAATAAAGGAAAACCATTGTGAAGCTACAAAATGACATACATTGTCAAAACTTAAGTTACCTTATTCCATTCATAGAAAAGAGGTCATCAGTGATGTAATGAAAGTCATATGTGGTATCTGTAGTAAAATAAAGATTTGTATTTGGGCAGATGTAGTATGGGTAGTATTTTGCACGTCTAATTTTGAAGTTATGGATGTGTCTCTCCATTGCAGCTCCACTTTGGAATTTTCTGTAGAATGCTAACACAGGTGTACAAGTACAGTTTCAAGACACACTGACTGTACAACAACATTTTACCACAGTGACAAAAATTTGGGGAATTCTGAGTGCTAGCTGGCATTTTTACGTGCAAATGCAGCGTTGCTCTTTAAAGTCAGCAGTGTCTGTTGGTTCTCCTTGTTGCTCTCTCATCATGTTAGCGGTGGATGTGTCATAACTCTAGCAGAGTCGACTAAGCACTACCAGGTGCCCCATTCCCATGCATGGGAACACGCAGAGATACAACTTTTTTGTTTTACAGGGAAATTGGCATAATTAACCCTGCGAGGACTCAGCCTCATTCTGGGAACAGTAAGCCTTTAGCAACAGGAACCTTTTGGCTCCTAGGAACGGTTTTAACAGAGTAGGGGGGTGGAACAGTTCTACAGACATGGAAAGCATGGCGATTAGCTAGCGGATGCACGCTGAAGTTGTAGAAATGGTCTGAATCTAGTTAGTTATTAGGACTCTGGCTGGAAATGATGTCACCCCTGCAGGGTCGGTCAACCCAGACTATAGCGTTACTTGCTGCAGACAGACCACCCTGACTGAGTGATTGACAGTTTAGGCTACTGCAGCTTTATATACAAACTTCACACAGAAAGAATGGGGAATATGGTTGGTAGCGCATGTGCATTACTGGCCGAACTACACGCACAATGGCAATTATGTTTGCATCATGTCAAAACCAGCGTATGACATTTTCAGAGAGAAAAATCCACAAAGACGAGAGGATTTCACATTACACGCTCGGTCCAAGAAATACTGCGGTGAAATATCTGCATGATAATATTCTATTTATTTTGGAGGGCTGAGGTTTTTGTGGCAAAACAATCAAGCAGACGTCTCAATTTTCCGACTAATGCGCTGTGATCTAATGACAAACCGCAGCGGGAGGGGTTGAGGGGGAATAATCCCATAAAGCTATTAGAAATATCACATTCAAAATGCAAATACCATAATTATGATTAACAGTGGTTATGATGAACTGCAGTCGTTAGATGAGGATCTATCGGAACGTACAGATTAAAGCAACATTTTGTGTGTGTTTTGGGGGCGCCGGTCATGAATGCAAGACTACTTGCATTTCTGAATTTTGTAGAAGCGCCGTAATCCAACCTTGCAATAACAGAGGCAGATTTACTTCAGGATGAATACCTTTCTGCTAATGAGGATTTGACTTACAACAGTAGGTGTGATTAAACTGTGAGGCTGGACGCAGACAAAAATTTTGACTTAAAAGCCGACTCTACTTCATGTATTTTTTGCAGATCTTTCCACATTTTCTATCAATTTAGAATGCAAATTCCCGATATGCACTGGGGAGGGTGCAGACTGCAGCGTGCTTCCCTTCTGATACATGGTGTTGCCGGCTGCTCCTTTACCTTTTTACTTCCACACCATCTGCTTCAGTTCCGCCTTACAACGTTCCACAGTCACAGGGGAAGTAAAAAGGGCGAGAAGTAACAGAGTCTTAAATTCGCACAAATAAGCCTGAGATGTTGCGACAGGGAATCGAACCTTGGGTCCCTCCAGGAGCAGTCAGGAATTTTACACTTGCACCACTGCAAAATACTAGACACTTTTATAGGCCGGTGATCAATAACATACTTATTGTTTTTGTTAAACAAGTTATCTGAAAAAACCATAACAAATAAACCATCAGCTGCATCACGTCAAAAGGATACTGATCTCATCATCACGTTGCGTCATCATCTCCTTTAGTTTGGTCACTTCTGCTGCAGAGTGGGGGCTCTCTTGAATTACTTTTGCTGCTGGTGACGCTTGACCATCACCATGTCTATGGCCTCCACTTTGCTTGTCCATGATCATTATCTGTAAGAAAAAACATAAAAGAAAGATTGTTGACCTTTAACGGAAGTTAAGAGAATGGCTTCGTTTTTGGAGATATGGACATGGATAATAGACTGTACTTGTAGAGCGCTTTTCTAGTCTTTCCGACAACTCAAAGCGCTTTCACACTACTTGTCATCATTCACCCATTCACACACCGATGGGAGTGGCTAAGTGACACCTGCCTATCAGACTAACTCATTCACACACCGTAGGCACAGCTACGGGAGCAATTTTGGGGTAAAGTTAAGTGTCTTGCTCAAGGACACATCGACATGCGACCAGCGGAGCCGGGGATCAAACCGCCCATCCTCTGATTGAAGGACGACCCTGCTGCTTAGCCACAGTCGCCCATATATATATATATATAAATATAGATGTAAAACTAATATTTTTAAGAATAAAATAATCTGGTTGATGAATTGCATCCCATCAAATGGTATTTTGAAGTGACAGCTTGAGTAAAAGATGTAATGTTATGCCTTTAAACTGATATATTGTGCATTTTTATACTTAATATTTGGATTTTTTTACTCTGTTACTTTGATTGCTTAACTATATTTTTGCTGCTGTAGCAAACAAATGTCCCCTTGTGGGATAAATAAAGTGTCTACCTATCTATCTAAAAATGCCATACCTTGATTACAATGCAAGTTAGATAGATAGATAGATAGATAGATGTATACTTTATTCATCCCCAGGGGGAGATTTATTTGTAGCAGCAAGCAAAGTTACAGAGTAAACACAAAAATATGAAAGATGAAAGATGCTCAATATATACAATACAATAAGATAACAGAGCAGAATATAATTAAATTTGAATTAAATTTAAAGAAAATAAAAAATGCACAGTATATACAATAAGATAGAATGGTATAAATTAACCAACTAGGTAAAAAACAGTAGTGCAAGGATCACAAACAGCAAACAACAACAGTTAGCAGTGTTATAGTCTTGTGTTTGATTTGGCCAGAGGTGATTTATTGTACAGTCTAGAGGGCAGGAATGTTCTCCTGTATCGGTCCTTGCGACAGCGGAGCTGGATCAGTCTGTTGGAGAAAATGCTCCGCTGTCCCTGCAGTAGGTGGTGGAGAGGGTGGTCCGGGTTATCCAATATGGACAATAGTTTCTTCAGTGTCCTCCTCTCCACCACCTTTTCCAGATAGTCTTGTTTGCAGCCAACGATGGAGCCGGCCTTCTTAACAAGTTTGTTCAGTCTGTTGGTGTCTCCGGCTCCAATGCTGCTCCCCCAGTAGACTACGGAGAAGTAAAGCGCACTGGCCACAACAGACTGGTAGACTGGTAGAACATCTCCAACATCTTGCTGCACACATTGAGGGATTGAAGTTTCCTCAAGAAAAGAGTCTACTCATCCCCTTCTTGTACACAGCCTTGATGTTGGTCTTCCAGTTCAGTCTGCTGTCGATGGAGACACCCAGGTACTTGTACTCCTCCACCATGTCCACATCCTCTCCCAGAACTCTCAGCGGTTGTGGAGTCGTCGTCTTCCTCCTGAAGTCGACCACCATCTCTCTGGTCTTGGCCACGTTCAGACGCAGGTGATTTCTACCGGCCCACTCCACAAAGTCATCCACTACTGCCCTGTACTCCTCCTCCTGTCCGTCCCTTATACACCCGACCACTGCAGAGTCATCAGAGAACTTCTGCAGATGGCATGACCCAGAGTTGTACTGGAAGTCAGTGGTGTACAAGGTGAACAGGAAGGGAGACAGAACAGTTCCCTGTGGGGCTCCAATATCACTGACCACCACATCAGACAGCACACGGCCCAGTCGGACAAACTGTGGTCTGCCCGTGAGGTAGTCAGTGATCCAGGAGACGGTGGACGCGTTAACCCCCACCACCCGCAGCTTCTCACCCAGCAGCACTGGTTGGATGGTGTTGAATGCACTGGAGAAATCAAAGAACGTGATTCTCACAGAGCCACCGGATCCATCCAGGTGCGACTGGACTCGTTGCAGCAGATAGATGATGGCGTCGTCCACCCCCACATGCGGCTGGTACGCAAATTGCAGAGGGTCCAGTGAGGATTTCACCTGCGGATGGAGGTGGGCCAAGACCAGCCTCTCCAGCACCTTCATCACACAGCAACTGGTCGGTAGTCATTGAGGCTAGATGGTGTCGTCTTTTTTGGTACAGGAACCAGGCACGATGTCTTCCACAGCACCGGGACTTCCTCCTGCTTCAGGCTCAGGTTGAAGAGGTGTTGCAGGACATCAGACAGCTGGACGGCACAGGTCTTCAGGACCCTGGGGCTGATGCCATCAGGTCCTTCAGCTTTGCCTTGGTGGAGTCTCTCCAGCTGTCTCCTAACCTGGCCAGTCGTCACAGAGAGGGGGGGGAGGGTGGAAGAGCCCTTTGATGTTGAGGGCTCTGTGTCCATGCAGCTCACCAGGGGGGACAGAGGGGACAGAGGGGGAGGTGTTTGGGAGGTGTGGTGTGTGGAGGAGACAGATGAGGGCTCTGAGCTAAACCTATTGAAGAAAGAGTTTAGCTCATTTGCCCTCTCCAGGGAGCCCCCTGGTTGTCTCCCTCCAACCTTGAAGCCAATAATCTGCTTCATCCCCGTCCACACCTCCCTCACATTGTTCTGCTGGAGTTTGGCCTCCAGCTTCCTCCTGTAGGAGTCCTTGCACTCTCTCTTAAGTTAGTGGTTAAGTTAGTTTCCATGGCATAAAAATATTTTGTAGCTTAATAAACATCTACAAGTAAATGCAGCCTACTATCTACTACGCTTGGGTTTGCTGTCGAGAAAAAAGACAACCATCTAATGCCATGAATGTTAATGAGCTGGAAAACACATTTTAATATCATCCTGGAAAGTGGTGCTCTTCTTAGTCCTGTGATATTCCCCAAACATGAATTAAATTCGCCCTCTTTTTCCTGTCTGTAATATAACTCTTATTTCAATGATACACCAGGCTTAAAGACAGGTGGAAAACATGTTAAAGGATTAGAGTTTTTCCCACATGGGGAGAGACACAGTAGAAGAGGAAGATACAGAGGCCGGACGTACACTGCATGGAGGCCCACAGAGGAAGACAGTGGATTGCATCTATGCTCGCAGCGCTGCACGAGCAGAGTGTTGAGCATGAAAGAGCGTTGAGAACAAAAAAAAAAAAAAAAAAAGGACAGGAATAAAATTCAAACCAGATCCAAATTCCTTCAGAACCTCTGGGTGCTGCTCAGAGGAATGTAAACTGAACAGGAGATAGAGTTTGTGGATCATAACAAACTGAAGGAGAGATAAACAGACATTAGAGTGGGATCTGGAAGTGCTTCTGGTGGCCCGATCTGCTCCGACTCCAACCACAGCGGAGCGCAGGAACAGTGTTTTCCCTACGCTCATTTAGCAGCAGTGGGTCAGCGGCTGCTGTTTGACTAATATTGAATGCACTCTGTGACCGATCGGACTTTCTCCAAAATAAAAAGCTTCAAGAGTTTATGTTTTCTATCAACATTTGGCAAACAGCACGCAATCGTAAATTACTTCCACAGCATGACAAATTGTCAGTAGATCGGGCATAGAGCCAAAAACAGAAAAATGCCCAGACTGTACTTCTATAACAAATATGACATTAAATGACAGTCATCCAGGTGGTTTCAAATATTAGCCATTATTACAACACATACAGTATATTCATTTTGTCCGAACCCAATGTGTTGCATAATAATGGGTAGATGGAAATGTTTCCTGACCCATTCATTAACGGGTCACTACATGAGCTTACTTTCAGCAACTATGAGCGCTTTCATTATTAAATGAATCAATGAATTACTCTTTGCTTTAACTTTGTCATTATTAAGTAAATGTTGATTGCACAATGTTTTGGCTACAGAATAATAGCACCATAGATTGGTTCCCTATAAGCCTCGCTTTCATAATGCAATGCTGTCTGCCACCAGGTACGATCTCCTGGGTAAATTTACGGCACAAGTTTAGTTCGTTTTCGAAACCGAGGAGGATAACGCTTTTGTTTTCCCGGTAGCTATCGACAGGTAGGGGACATGGCGGACGGTGGGTGAACCGGAGTAACTGTGGAAAAAGAAAAGACCCCCCTTATCGCAGGAGGCAAAGACGAGGAAGAGTGATAAAAACAAGGGAGAACTTTGTAGGGGCATTCTCTCGATGGAGAGAGCGCCGGAACTAACCAACATCCAGTTAGCGTATTTTCCCCGGGGTCTCCTACCAGTTGGGCGTGCCTGGAAAACCTCCAGTGGGAGGCGCCCAGGAGGCATCCTAATTAGATGCCCGAACCACCTCAGCTGACTCCTTTCGACGCGAAGGGGTAGCGCCTCAACTCCAAGTTCCCTCCTGATGTCCGAGCTCCTTACCCTATCTCTAAGGCTGAGTCCGGCCACCCTACGGAGGAAACTCATTTCGGCCGCTTGTAGCCGCGACCTTGTCCTTTCGGTCATGACCCAGAGTTCGTGACCATATGTGAGGGTCGGAACGTAGTAAATTGAGAGCTTTGCCTTCCGGCTCAGCTCCCTCTTCACCAAGACGGTCCGGTGCACCGCCTCCTTTACTGCTACAGCCGCACCGATCCGCCTGTCGATCTCCCGCTCCATCTTACCCTCACTCGTGAACAAGACCCCCCGAGATACTTGAACTCCTTCGCTTGCAGTAGGCACTCCGTCCCCACCTGGAGGGAGCAATCCACCGGTTTCTGGCAGAGCACCATGGCCTCAGATTTGGAGGTGCTAACTCTCATCCCCGCCGCTTCACACTCGGCTGCAAACCACCCCAGTGAATGCTGGAGGTCACGATCCGAGGAGGCCAACGGGACCACATAATCTGCAAACAGCAGAGAGGCGATCCCGAGACCCCCAAACCTGACGTTCTCCACCCCCCGGCTGCGCCTAGATATCCTGTCCATGACAGTGACAAACAGGAATGGTGACAAAGAGGAACCCGGGACCCGGTCGAAAGCCTTCTCCAAGTCCACAAAGCACATGTAGGACCCCTCCAGTAGTCTTGTGAGGGTAAAGAGCTGGTCCACTGTTCCACGGCCGGGATGGAATCCCCACTGCTCCTCTTGAATCCGAGGTTCGACAAACGGTTGGAGCCTCCTTTCCAGCACCCTGGCATAAATTTGTTCAGACCAATGTTTTGTTCGTAGGCATGTCTTGGCTAAGTTTTTTAAGCTGGCCTGCCAATTCTGAAGACCTGGCATTGACGATTGCATGTCCCATTACACCTTGCCTCTAATTAGATGGCAATTAGAACAACAAAGTGTCTAGGCTTAAGGCAAGCCGTGGGAAAATCAACAGCACTGGATGAAATTGGGCATTAAAGAATCTTCAAATATTTTCACTTTCTAGCCTTAAGAATGAAGCATATGATTTACAGTTACAGGTTATGGTTAAGCCTAAGGATAAGAGCATGTTAATCACCAGCTTTTTCTGGGAATATAAAGTGAAACAATTCTAGCTGTTATTTGATGATACAGCAACCATCTGCAGTAGTATTAACCACGTTAAAAAAGGAAGGACATTTTAGTTCATTGAAAAGTGAGGCAGTAGAGGAAGCTATACAGAGGAGGTGATTGGTCAGCTGGTTGCTGCTGAGCTGATGGACGTGCAGAGTTCTGACACCTCACTGATCAGATGTGCTCTATATCTTACAGCCACTGCTATAGTGAAGATAAACATCCAGCACCAACACTAACCAACAGAATACAAACGTCTGTTTCAATGACAAACTGGACAGAAGATATCTCCTGCTGCCATGCTGCACGGTGATGACCCGTGGATCTATTCATGGACAGGAGGAGGAAAACAAACACCAGGTCACATAGGGAGACGTGCATGCAGATAGTGTAAATATATTACCTTCAGCAGGGAGAAACAGTGCTGGAGTTTTCTCATGTCTGGTCCCAAAGACAGTGTCACGTCTGGATCAGGTTCCTCCAGGAAGGCCTTGACTAGCTCTTCCACCCTAAACACAGACACACGCAGATGCTCTCTAATGATCCACCTACGCTTAAACCAGTGCCACATTCCAAGTTACAATCCCTCTCCATCACACTCAGCACACGCTCAGCAGCCACTCAAACAGTTAATATTTATATCCGATGTTTAAAATGTGGCTCTGGTCAAAAGAAAACTATTTACTTAAACGTGTGTTCCAGCTCCACTGGGCCGGACCGTTGATAAACTATCACTGGATGATAGTCCAAACATTGGTTCTTGGAGCTCTGGAACGGGCCACTGGAAAAGACCGACAGACGGCAGCTGTCCAGACGGATCCGGTGTAGGCACGACAACGTGCTGTTTTTATTTTCCACTGCAAACTTGTTCGGCGCAAAAACACACCGGGTTTACATGTCGAAGGACTTAAAACAAACGTAGCGGTCATTCTTTCAGGAACCCGCGAGACACCGGTGGTTTTGTGATACAAAGCTGGCTTCTGGAGAATGCCCATCAGTGCCATGTACAATATTTTGTATGAGAAAAAGCTTCATCTTTCAAACGCCACAATTTGACAATTTCCAAATAGTTTTTTCCGAGGGGCGTTAGGTGATATGTTAAGTACAAAAAAAACCAAACTAATAGAATATTTGGAAGGAAAAAATTGATGACAGCTCTTATGGGAATGGAACGAAAACACTGAATCTTCTGTGAAGGTAAAAAATCTGTATGCCTGAGGACAACAAATAAGCCAAGATGTATGCAATCACTCAGTGCTGGGGATGAGTCGATGCATAAACCTGAGAGGAAACGGCCTCAACAAAGTCAGCATGATCAGTGAATGTGGTCACAACAGACATCAAAGGCTTCCTGTGTGAGTTTGACCTCAAACAGTGGCAAATCAAGGATAACCACTCGGGAGGAGAGAGAGGAAATTTTAAAAAGGCGGACTGATGGGATTAAGGTAAATACATTTAAATACGGTAAATACATCAGCATGGGGGGAGTGATGTTCCAAGTCATCCATGGAACCTCTGGCCTGAACATGGAACCTCTGGCCTGAACTCTGGCCGTGACTGACTGGGTCCCTCTGCTATTTGAGTATAGGTGCAGAAATAAAGCCGTCCTGGCTGAAGCGGAGCCCTGGGGAACTCCATTAGATATGGTTAAGCTTCAGTGAATGAGGTTTCAACTCGAGCATCGGTGCATGGCCAACAGCATAAGTTATGTATGCACTTGAGGCAAACCCCAAACACTTATAAATCATGACACATATTTGCTCAGGAATCTCCGGGTTTTGAGCATTACAAATACAAATTAGAGATCTAAAAAAGACCATCTGCTCTCGTCCCCGGGTCTGAGGTACACTGTAAACATCCTTGAAGGCTGACGGGGCCAACGCTGCACTATACACGTCTGCACTGTCCTGAGATGACTGGCTCACAGAGGTACACACACACACACACACACACACACACACACTTTGTACAACCTGTGATCCTTTGGCTTTTGGAGTCTGAAATATTATTCTTTATCAATAAATTTGACGTCTGCAATACTAAAATGCAACAGAGGAGATCGATAGATGGACGGACAGAACACGTCAGTTTCGGAGAGAGAGAGCTGCAAGCCACAAACAGATGTTTGCTTAAAATATATTTAGTGCTCTGATAGTGTTAGGTTCTCTGATTAATAAATGTGTTCTTTGCTGTTGCTGTTATTTTGCTTTTCCAAGATTATTGCATGGTTAATACAATACATTTTATTTTATGAAAAAAAAGTTGCCCCTCCGGATTTTTAACAGCCCCCTCAGTCACTTCATTCTTGTGCCTAGCCTAGGTGTAACGTTACTCAATAACCATACATCAGTAATATAAGCCAAGTCTGTTTCAATGCTAGGTTATGCAGAGAGACTGACTGGATTGAAGGGATGAGGAATCAGGGAGCAAGAGGAGGTGACATACCTCTGGATCTCCTCCACAGTTAGCTGCTCATCTCTCTGTTCTCCTGTCTTCATGGCCAGCTCGTCCTTCAGAGACTGGATCTCCCTCTTCAAACTGGCTATTAGCTGAAATACACACACAAAAAAGGCAGGGTTAAAGATGGAGGACTACATGTGCTCTCACTAACACATACACACACACACACACACACAATATGAAGCACATTTGGCACCTACACACTACATGCAAAGACATGCGCTCATGCACGAGCAGACAGGCTGTTTCACCGCTGCCAACTGATGAGACAATCCTTCTGAAAATGATCTTGCGGCTTATCTTGCCGATGTATTTTGAGGACAAACTTAAGTGATTCCAGACAACTGGATGCTCCAATGCAGCAAGAAAAACATAAATTAGCATTAAAAAGCTACGGTAGCAAAAGAAAAAATTGTACACTTAAAACCCTTCTGCTGTCTGTCTGCATGTGTTCAGTTAAAGACTTGCACACTGAGCCAACCGGGTGGTTGCTGTTAGTAACCGCTGTCCGGGTCTGGTTACGGTATATACTGCATATGCATAAGACAAAAATATCTCACAGAGAACAGACATAGCTTCGTAAATAAGTACTTAGATAGCAATCTTTGTTTAAAAAAAAGGGAAAAAAAGAAGCAAGAATGTCTATTGATGTCAAAGAACCATGACCAGGATATTGTTTTCATTAACAGCCTAAATCATAATTCCACTGATTGATACTGACAGCAACATGTTTTGTAATCTGTGTAACCCAGACCGTGTTCTCCACCTGCAGAGGCCGCCATTTAATTTGAACACTATATAAGACAAAAAAATCGATTTGAGGCATGAAATAGAGAATCCTCCAAATACAGATGAGTCCTGGCCCCGGCCCTGTTGATATTGTAATCTTTAATATTTGGAGATAAGCCTGTGGCGCTCTGCTTCTCCTTGCTGAAAGGGTCCATGTCTACAGAGGTCAGTCTAAAATGCCTCGTGTCAGTCTCGGCAGGGATTAGCAGGCGTCTAGCTACCTAGCACCTAGAGGATCAGTGAGTTCATCACTTCACAACTTCAGATCACAACTTCAGATCTGAAGTTAACTTACATGTAAGTACGAGTAGCCAAAAATAATTGATTCTGACAAGCTGTTCTGATGAGACAAACATTTCAGGTTGGTGTATCGGGCTGTCCTGTGTCTTTTAATGCCCAAATGGGTGTTTTTTAGCTCCTTTTTCAGAGTAGGTACTCCCAGCACAAGAGCAACCATGAGTGACTTAATATCCACATTACTCCGTTTTTACTCCGTTTTTGCTACGTTTACACTGAGCGGCCACACTACGCAGGAGTTTTGGAGCACCCTAAACGGAGGAGTCTCAAAAATCCCCTGAGGTTGGAGGTGTTTGAGAACTTCGGGGTTGCATTTGCGTGTGGACGGTCGGATACGGATGTGTTTAGAAATAATGACGCCCACACCCGTGTTCGCTACTGGACCACGTGACCCGTACCCGGAAGAAAACAAACTGGGCTACCAGCGATTCATTTCAACATGGATAACTAATTGCAAGCGTTGCTGCTAGCCTGCATTTCTGTGGAGGAAGCAGCTGTTATTGGAGCGATTAGCAGGCGGTGTGACCAGCGGCTTCATCAGCCCTACGGAGCAGCTCGTTGTTTTTAGATTCTAATGAGAAGACATGCTGCGCTAACGTTTTACTTCTTCCGTTTGGTAGCCTTGAGAGACCTTAGTCTGCAAGTATGTATTTATGAAGCATGAACAGATGTACGTAGATATATTCTATTCGCTCTGTTAGTATAACATTTGTGTTGTATTAAATGCTAATCGCGGTTAGCATTTCTCCATTGGCGGTAATGTTAAAATTAGCTTAGAAGCTAGCTAGTCGGAACATGTTACATGCTGGCTATATCATGGATTGTTGTTTTGTATTCATGTATGTGTATAGGGACAGTTTGTAAAGCCATATTTCATGTTGTGTTTCCACAGTTTTACAAATAAAGATTCACACTAAAGTCTTGAAACTCTTCTACGGATTCCAAGGTCTTTATTTCACAGATCTACTGTTAGCGAACTACTGCTAAGCTTTTCTGCACGAAGCAAGAGCAGAATAGAGTGAGATGTGTGTTGACCACATTTATGGACAATAATCTAGGAAACGTTTACGTGCAAGTGTTGATTTTAAAGTAAATTTGATGTGAGAGAGAGAGATAGACCCGCAGCGCTGTAACTAAGTCTGAAAAATAAAACTTCTAAAACTTTCCACGAACTGTCTGTTTGAGTTTATAGAGGAATATTTTAGAGGAAGATGTTAAGTATCAAATACAACCTTTCATTATTAAAGATTACTTTATTGCTCTGTCGTAATTTTTTTAACTAAGCAACCAATCCACTTTCTGTTTACACCGTCACGCGCATGCCCAGTGTACGTTAATGGTCACTGCTGTCCGCCTTCGAAGGTTGCCGTGTGGATGCAGATCAATTCAAGAATGATGCTGAAACGGCCATGTGGACGGAGATCGTTTCTATTTGACAAATCTGCTTCCAAATAGAAACGGAGTAGTATAGATAAGTGTACCGTGATTGGCCACACAGAACTGGCCACCGCCTGTTTTAAAAACCTGTTAACCATGTGAACAGACAACGCAAAACAAACAGCTTGTAGACACAATGGAAGAAAACACGGACAAATGGACCGACAGTGAAGTCCAGAAGTTAACTCATTCATTAGCTTCGTGAGCAAACTCAGTAGCACAAAGGATAATCCAGTAGCACAACGGCTAGTCTAGTAGCATAAAGGCTAGCCCAGCAGCACAAAATCAAGCCCAGAAGCACAAAGGCTAGCCCAGTATCATAAAGGCTAACCCAGCAGCATAAAGACCAGCCCAGCAGCACAAAGGCTAACCCAGTAGCACAAAGCACATTCACTGAGCCTAAGAACAATGGCCGTTTCATACTGAAATCATAAAACTTTCATGACGACTATTTTGCTTGTGTTTATATGTTTGTGGCATGTAACAGTTGTTTATGTATTATTATATTACTGAAAAAGCTAAGAGCTTGTGGTTCTAAGAGCTTGTCGTTCGTGCAGCAGAGCTGTTAAATGGGATTAGATCCTAAATCTCCTGGTCCACAACAGGAGCAAGAGGTTAGAGGTGAGTCCACTTGACATGTGCCCCTATTCTGAAGCCGAGTATGTTATTAGCAGTGTGCCGTTACTTGAACTTGAGGTGCTATGCTTAAATGTGAAAGGGGCCAGATCCACAACAGACGACACATGAGGACTGATTAGCCTGATAAAACCTACAGCTCGATTTCTCTCTAGCTAATAGTAGGAGATGTTAACTGGCCATTTATTAATTTGGTAAGTCTCCTGAAAAAAGGAGGAATCAGTGCAATAAGCAGATGACCTTTCTACATTACATTTAAACACAGACGTGTAATTACATGCTAATGGCATGAAGATAGGCCAACACCAGAAACAATGGATGGTGTAGTTATTGAAACGAAGCCAGACTAGTTGTAATAAAAATTCTGCACGAATCCCACCACAAAACAACACAGTGAAACCACCTAAAAATACAAGTGGCGATTGTGCTTTTTCTCACATGACCTACTTATCTCTTCAGTATAAATCCCACTTAACTATCACCACTGAATTTGACCACACTGCGAAATACTAAAGCAGACTGAAAGGCTGGAATGGTCTCGGTGAAAGAGAGCAAATACAACAGAAAGTGGTGACTCCTGACACAAAGTTGCTAGGGAGCTCGGAAGTTCAGTGAACACTTAAATCGAGGTTAATAGGTCAGACTGAGTCATCCATTTCAGCAAAGCGTCGCCACTCCTAGCAAACATCTTTTGGCTGTAAAGACAGTCAGACATTGACAATTCAAGATGCAAGTGTGGTTTTGGGTAGGTGCCACTTAGCGGAACAAAAATTTCACCCCAAATCCACTCCATTTCATATTTTTTTAACATCAGAGCTGACCATCCCTCATCAGAGCCGCTCCCTGCATCTCTTTTTTGGAGCCCTTGGTCTGATGTAATTCTTCCAGCTGCATCCTGAAATGCTGACCGCCAGTTGTTGGTCAGCAGAATAGCGCAGTCTATTTCAGAGCGCCGAGCCCACACTCGTACCACAGCACCACGGCAGGCTTCCATACACTCGGAATAAAAACTGACTCAGGCCATGTAACTGATGATGCCAGCATGTCCTATGGAACCCATGTCATTGCAATATGCAAATGCAACACGCAACACTACATGTTCATCTGCGTTACTTTCTATGTGCTGAGACAAACATGCCACATAATTGACCTTTGTCAAGCCCCGCCTCACGCTGCTACTCCGTCAAGCTGACAGAGCTACCATGGAGCCCACACTAACTACACAACCTCAAGAAATATGTTCTAACAAAAATCGATTTCAGAGTGAAGAAGACAGAAAGGTCTACAATATGCGTTGAAGGATATATCCAGGATGTCAAAATGATTGAGCAGTGAAAACAGGTTGAAAAGATAAAGATAGAAGCTAAAGCTACAGATCACAGTGTGAAAGTGAACCATCACATCACCTGGAGATCCAGACAGAAGACAATGAAATTAAGGAACGAAACAGTTCCTGTAAAGTTAGGTATGTCTTTTTTCACTGTTACGATCATTAAAAAGCAAAAGCAGCATGTATTCAGTATACCTTCTCTAGCTAGCATAGCATAGACGTTCTAACGCTAGTTAATGACGTAACGCACTCTGCTATTGTTAGCACCAATGGTTTTTACGTAGAAATGTTAGAGACGTATATCTCCTTCCAACCTCTCCAGGTAACTAATATCACTATTGCACAACGTTTAACCATGACAAGCTACAAATCCACTAAACCAGTCTGACAATGAGGGGCATCTTGAATGATTGCTTGGAAGTCTATGGGGCAGAGCCAAAGGGTCAATTAAGTTTGAAACATTAAACTAACTTGTATAAATAGACCTAACTTTAAATCGTAAGTCCTCTCTTTGAATATATACTATCCATCCTATGCAAAAACCCACTCACAGTAAACAGCACTACAGTATTATTGGCTCCATTATGGGGGCCTCTTTTTATGAAGAAAGAAGTGTCAGAGCCCACTACACCTTAATATGGATCTTACATCCGCCACAACAAAATGATAACACATGGGCTCTGTTCCATGCATGGCACCATTCATTTTAGGCATTTTGGACTAAGGTATGGAGCACAGGACTGAACAGCACACCACTACACTTACAAACTCCTCTGTCCTACGAAGGCCAGGCTCTGAGACTAGACGAATGAGGGATCCAGGGGGAGCAACCCCTCAGGAATTTCCACACCCGCTTCTCTCTGGTGGGCTATGGGCAGGGTTCTGTTTGACTCACAGGTATGCGCTAATCAGAGCT